GCGTGGGAGCCACTTCTTTCGAATATAACCTAGTCCCTCGCAAACCTCACCGCCGGCACCTTAAACGTACCTCTAGCATAGTCAGTGCCATAAAATAATAGTGCATAAAATTCTCGTGAAGCGTTTTAGTGCCGTTTTTTTTCTAAAAGATGGCTTCTTTAGTCTGCGCCGCCCAAATGAAAACGTAAACGACCTCATGAATTCTTAAATTGGAGAAGACATTTGGACAACGTAAATTTAGATGAGATAGTGGATGGCAATGGGCAAGTCTGAAGAGAAAGATTAACTTTTATGCTCGATCTTTCCAAATTTACGAAATACTAGCAACTTTATCATACAGCTGAATATTTTTTACGAGACAATTGATAAGTTTTGTGGTAAAAACCTATAAGTTTAAAGGCCTACTACAAAATTAGAATTGACGTTTTTTTCAGTCGGCAAAATTTTGAAGCCCCTCACCCCTCCCCAAAAAATATCTGCCATTTACGTCCCTGCTCACGCTTAAATACAGCCCCCTCCCTTGCACTCCCCCATAGATTTGAATGCTTTTCGTCTCAGCTGACGCTCCAATACACGTAATGTACCTAGCTGCTCACACAAGGTTAGGAAAACATCAACCCTCACAGTGTTAAATTTCAATGATTTAAATGACAAGAGAACTTAAAAATTTCATAGAAGTCTTCTAAACCTCCTAGTTCTACACTCATATCAATAAAGGGATACTGTAATGCCGCAAAAATGCATTTGGTACAAGATTTGCAGTATATCTACAAAATTTCATTCCTGTATGCGCCATATTGAATTTTGAACAAAATCCTAGATTTCCATCAACTGGAGTCACTGGCGGTTTTCATTTCCTTTTTATTTTATGATGTTGATACATATATCACAAAGGCCTGTGTGACACACCCAATCCAGGAGATATAATTTTGCAGATTCGTCATTTTTTCGGAGCTTACTAGGCAAATTTTGGGTGCACGGTATAGAATAAAAAATAATGATAGTCGATGGTATATCTGATTGTTTTCTTTTCATTTCGATTTGATCCTTTCGCTCTTTAGTTATTAATCAACTATCAATTGGTAAACTGATACCATAAGAACGAACTCCACACTCACAATTTTTTTCCGGTTTGGGTGCGCTAATGACAAGAAAATGACCTTCCAGAAAATCGATAATCAAATAGTGTTATCCGCTGTGGATGTTAATTTAAAAGTAAAGTGGTATTGTAAGGTGCTTTTCCAGGGAACTGGCAGCATCAATTCGAAAATTTCTCTAAAACTATCGTGTGCTTGTTTATTGTGACAGGAGCATAATTGCAAGCTAGCAAACCACCTGCCCAATGTAATTGTTTCTTTCTGATGAATGATTAAAAGGGAAAAAATAAGTTTTTTTTAAAAAGAAAGCTGTCAACAATACTGGCTTGTGGCGCCTGTTGCCTATTTTGTCTGCAACAGTAAGCAAAAATTTGTTTCAAAGAATCAGAGATCCAATAGTTAGCGAACCGACGGAGAATGTCCTTCTATTTTCGATTAAATAAAATGAAGGGACATTCTGATGTCGAAAATAGAAGGGACATTCTCCTCGATTGCTAACTATTGACTCTCTGATTCTTGAACAAATTTCTTACTGTTGCAGACAAAATAGGCACAGGCGCACAAGGCCAGTATTGGGACAGGCTTTCTTTTAGAAAACTTATTTTTTTCCCTTTAATCATTCATCAGAAAAGAAACAATTTTTACTTGGGCAGGTTTTTGCTAGCTTGCAGATTATTGCTCCTGTCGCAATAAACAAGCACACGATAGTTTATAGAGAAATTTTCGAATTTGATGCTTCCAGTTCCCTGGAAAAAGCACCTTACAATACCACTTTACTCTTAAATAAACATCCACAGGCGGAACACTATTTGAGATCGATTTTCTGGAAGTCATTCTTGTCATTAGCGCACCCAACCCGGAAAAATTGTGATGCGGAGTTCGGTTCTTATTGGTATCAGTTTACCAATTGATAGTTGAATTATTAACGTACCAAGGAGCGAATAGGATCAAATCGAAATGAAAATGAAAACAATCAGATATACCATCGACTATCATTGATATTTTATTCTATACCGTCACCAAATTTGCCTAGTAAGCTCAAAAAATGACGAATCTGTAAAATTCATATCTCCTGGGGTTGGGGGTGTCACACAGCCTTTTGATATATGTTATCAACATTTATAAATAAAAAGTAAAGTGAAAACCGCCAGTGACTCCAGTTGTGAAATTCTAGGATTTTGTTCAAAATTTCAATATTGCGCATACAGGAATGAAATTCTTTGTCAGATATACTGCAAATTTGGTACCAAATGCATTTTTGCGGCAACACAGTATCCTTATTATGATGAGTGTAGAACTAGGAGGTTAGAAGGGACTCTATGAAATTTTCAAGTTCATCTTGTCATTTAATCATTGAAATTTCAACACTGTGATGGTTGATGTTTTTCCTAACATTGTTTGAGCAGCTAGGTACATTGACTGTATTGAGCGTAAGCTGAGACGAAAGCATCAAATCTATGGGGGGGGGGGAGAGTGCAAGGAGGAGGTGTTATTATTGCAAGTGAGCAGGGACGTAAATTGGCAGATATTTTTTGGGCGAGGGGGTGAGGGGCTCAAATTTTCCGACTGAAAAAAGGTCAATTCTAATTTTGTATGAGGGCCTAAACTTTAATAGGCTTTTACCAACAAAACCTTATAAATTGTCTCGTAAAAAATTATTCAGCTGTATGATAAAGTTTCTAGATTTCGTAAATTTGGAAGATCGAGCATAAAAGTTAATCTTTCTCCTTCTACGACTTGCCCATTGCTCCACTATCTCATCTAAATTTACGTTGTCCAAAAAGTCTTTCTCGCAAGTAAGAATCATGAGGTCGTTTAGTTTTTCACTGGGGCGGCGCCAGAAACTCAAAGTGGGGGGGGGGGGGGGGGCTCGAGTTGATAGAATTATTAGACTAAAGAACCATCTTTTGAAAAACGCACTAAAACGCTTCACGATATTTTATGCCTATTATTTTATGGGGCACTGATTATGCTAGAGGTACGTTTGAAGGGGCCGGCGGGAGGTTGGCGGAGGACTTTGGGATATTCGAAAGAAGTGGCTTCCCACGCTTTTTATTTTCACGACCACGCTTTTTAGATTAGCTTACAATACATTTCAGAATATTTCTTGCAGGTGTTTTCTTGCAATCGTTATTACGTTTGATTAATTACAGTCTTAAAATGGAATTCATTACTTTTTGAGGCCCCATAGACCTCGGCGTATTCCTTGAAAATTAAGCAACTAAAGGATTTGTCGGATTATTACTCTTCCTTTATTCTTTTTATTTGCCTAAAAATATATCTTTGCAAAGAAATGGGAGGGGGGCTGAAGCCCCCAGCTCTCCACCTGGCGCCGCCTATGTTTCATCGGTCGATCGCGAGCGGAGAAAGTTCTTGACAAGTCGTGGGAAATGTACTGCGCTTCTTCAAGCACTATTGATAAATATTATTTAAAAAATTCTATTTCGTATTCCGTTTTTAGAAGCAATTTGATGGAATGATTATCACACTATCCCCATTACGATGAATGTAATTGAAAATACTTGCATTTTCATACAAAACTTCGTCTTTTCTGTACTGCGTCGCCTCTCAGTCTTTTTAGGACTGCCTTTTACTTAACAACTATTTTCTTTTGAACTTATACCTTTCTTAAGCTGCTCTTTGAGCTACATTTCACAAGGTCATTTGAGTCAAAACTTTCACAAATTATTCAAATTTTCTTTGATTAAGCTAGCTTTTTACCAACAGTTTTGAATTTTCCGACGTCCCCTCAAATTTTCCGAATGGATGAAAGATTGGGGGTGTCACACACCCCCACCCCCCAGTATTTACGTGCCTGCTGAAGTGAGGAGGCAAATGTTTATATTGCCCAAGGTCTCAGTGAAAGCCCATGGTTGGCGGCGAGAAAAATTTTGGGATATTGCATTCCAAGAATGGCAAGAAATGATCTAAAATATTTATGGCATCGATAATGAAGAACTTTCCTTTTAATAATAACAACCCATTGGTTGGATTTTGAATTGAAACATTTCCTCCCGTGTTAACAAAACAGAGGTCATTTTATCAGCTAATGAACAGTGCTACTAGAAATATCATGCAAAACTGTTATTCAGTTGACTTGGAAAGTATTCATAGTTTGCAGATATAGAAAATCAATTTTGAAATAAATATAGCTTTAAGAACACCTGTGCCTAAAATTATCAAGAAACAAGAGCATCCAGTGCTCTTATTAAAAAGGGTGGATTGCAAAAAATATTAAAACTAGACAAGACAGAGTCGAATTATAGCATCGGTTGTTGATGCAAGCATTTCTTATAAACTAACTGCAACTAAACGTACTCAGTAAGAATTCATTCAAGAATTTTCTATCTGTATATGTCAAACTTTGTGCACGTTTTCATGTATATAAAGCTTGCAATGCCTTTGAATCTGTCAGTTGTTTATCTTTTCCTTTTCTGGTTTAATGGTCAATGGCTGACCATTGATGGTGTAGCGATTCTTCACTTCTTCACAGCTTTCTTTGCATTATATGATTCTCGGCTGTACCCATGCACAAACAATGAAGGGGGGCTGAGCCTCCCACTTTTTTCGAAATTTTAACAAGGAGGGCTGCGCCCCCACCACTACATCCCTGCCTGTCAACAAACATGGTAACTCAAATCATTAAGAGAAAGAGAGAAGTCGCAGAAGGATGGGACGTGCGTTCTGAAGGATCAATTGGATGAAAATTTGTGTTGTACCAGGTTACCAAACTTCTTATTATGAACACCAGCCTCTTTCATTAAAATAGTAATTCTTCAAACATTAATAGTATCGCTCTGCTTTTTGTAAGCGCCACCTCAGCAAAATATTGCTGTACCCAATGAGGTCCTAATTAGGCTGTGCCCAGTCAAACTATGACGTAATGCTACTCAGCCGTTTGGGAACGAGACATATATTATCAAAACCAAAATGGCCTAGCCTGAATGCAATTTCCACTGGAGAGATTGTTTTATTTTGATAGATAGCTTAAAAATAGTTATCTGACAGCTAAAGTTACCTGAAATTGAAAAGAATTTTGAGATTATTTCAAGGGACTTTCAAAAATGGGTTTGTTCGGGAAAACACCACAGAAAGACCCAAAAGAACAGGTTTGTTTTCATATTAAGAATTTTCTTCTATCGGCCTAAAATAAAGATTATCGATACGATGGCAACCAAGGAAATAATTTTTCTTTCTTAAAAGTGCCATTTTGTCGATTCAGATTAGTATATGGCTCCTTTTTGGTAGAATTTACTCTTTATTCTGTTTAAGACAGGCTATTGTCATAAAAAGAAAGTTAAATTGTTCACATACATCATCAAATCATTCAAAATAAATTTATTTTTTTCAAAAACCAAGGGATATTGCAAGCGATTATTTTGCACCATTTCTAAAAGATGAAATAATAAAAATAGGATTCAAGAATATAATGCTGTCTTATAAATATCGAATAGAATGAATGCATTGCATAGTTTAGGTTACTTCCTCTTTCAAAATGTGTAAAACAATTAAGTGAAGGGCTTGGGCTTAAACCTCGATCCCCAAGGACTGGTTAGAAAATTTGTACTTCAGAAATATGGCCTTGAAGGTTGCTATTTATTGAAATATAGTATCTGTTTGAACCTACAAAAATGGCTTCTTTACCTCAAAGGGTCACGCTGGAAAACTGGTTTTTTATATGTTCTAGATCAGCCCCGGCCATAAGAATTTTGGCAGGTGGCTGGTAACCAGACTGGAAGCTCTGTCATGTGCCTGCATTATATTATCCACACACACAAATTTTCTATCTGCATGCTTTTGCTAATAGGCTGCACAAAGTCCCTAGGTAATAACATTTTCCATTATAGAACATACAGATTTTCCTGTTTGTGTCCAGGAGGGCCATTTTTACAAAATTTAGAATTTATCAATAAAAATTATCTGGAAGCATTTTTATATAGGATAAAAAGTTTTTATCTAGTACCTTCTGCAACTGTGCAAGATTAATAACAAGTCCTATCTACTGTTCTTCATAATCATGAAATTCATCTCACTCAAATCTTCTTCTTATTCATTAACTCCTATATCTTCCTCTATGCTTCAACTCCACTGCTGATTTGCTTGAAAAGAATTACTTGTCGTGTTTTACAACCCAAGGCAAGATAAACTTTAAACATAGAAACACTTCCCAAAAACAAAATTTTCTGAAAATTCTCTATATGAATTTTATAAAAACGCTATTATGGAATTTAGGTTTGGAATGTTCAAAAGGTGACTTCTCAAAATGCTGGGCCCAATTGATTTCAACATGAGCATTCCTTTTTTAACAATAATGATGCAAAAAAGTATAATTGCACTGGTCAGCCTTCTGATATCAGGTTTATTTATTAATTATATATGTGATGTGTTGAATTATGTACATTCTGTTTTTTCTGTCCATGAGGTAGCCTTATGATGTAAAGGTGGGATGTGTTCTCTTGTTAATTGAAGTGGACAAATGTCACCATCAGTGTAAGGGGTCAGGCCAGATCAAAGCAGTCCTTGGCTGGACAATCTTTATTTATAACAGTGTTTAGAAGGAGTTGACAAGTGGATATTGAGTTTTTTCAAAGTAGAAAAATGCCTGCATTTCAGAAAATATTAAAATGCAAGTTTACCAGGCCCTGAAAAACCAGGAATGCTCGATATTCGTGGTAATGAATATTGTTGCACTTAAAATAAAAATTGATGGATAGGTGGGCTATTGATCAACTTCTTGAGTGATTTAGGAGGGTGCTACCATGAAGTAATCAGGTAGCTTTGACAGGAATTTGGGGGATGTGCTGCCAAAAAATTTGGGAACAAATAGCTGTCTCGAGTTGCATTAGCATGCATTACAGACCTCAACGCACCCTTTTTTCCAGTCTACCTCTAAGAAAGGAGGAAGTCTTTAATACTTAAAATTATGCATTGTATGGTATATAATTTGTTTTGAGTTTCATTATTCATGTGAATTGTGTTCAATATGTTTTCAGCCAATTTCATATCTAGCATTTGCTTAAGCAATCTGATTGTGTAAACTATTCTATTTCTGTAAAATTACAGAATAAAGTTTCCTCATTTAGATGAACTGATCAAGTCTGTAATATTATCATATTCGTAAGAATCATTTTCATTTTACTAAGATACAAATTATCTTTTAAGGTTAGAGAAATGACTTCCAATGTCAGAAAGGAAGGAAGAAAACTTGACCGGCAAATAAGAGGTACAGGGTTTATTATCTGAATGACATGATAATATTTTATTAACTCTCTGTCAATATTTTGCTGAAATAAGTGATAAGCATTTGAATTATATCTTAAAAGTCCAAGTAAGTTGATTCTGTTGAATTTCCATGTTTTGGTAAATTGTAGCCATAAAAATGGAGGAAGCAAAAGTTCAAAAGTCATTGAAGGATGCTGCTAAGAAGGGAGAGAAAGATGTATGTTCAATATTGGCCAAGGAGATTATAAGATCGAGAAGGGCTGTTAATAAATTGTACTCTTCAAAGGCCCAGCTGAATTCAGTTGAGTTAAGTATGAAGAATCAGCTAGGTGAGTTATTTCTTTTTTTCAACTTTTTATGTTTTTTAACTTTTTTGAAGTTGAAGTTATGATATAATTGTTTGTAACTACTGGCAGATAGGTGTTAAGTTAGTTTTATTTGTCATGGTTTCTTCAATTTTTATTTGTAACTTTTTTTGCCATAAATAAAAATGCATTTTTTTAACACAGATTTTTGTGACTAAGTGCCAAATGTGTTTTTACAGCTACTTTGAGAGTTTCTGGGAGTCTTCAACAAAGCACTGAAGTGATGAAGTACATGCAAGCGTTGGTTAAAGTGCCTGAAATCCAAGCATCTATGCAAGAACTATCTAGGGAGATGATGAAGGTTCTCATGATCTTGTATTTTTGTCAAGTGTTAAACTTTATTGAAATTTGAATCTAGATATAATTAACAGAGATGGGTTTTCATAAACTTTCCATGTTTGCTTTCAGGCTGGAATAATGGAGGAAATGATAGAAGAATCATTTGAAAGTCTGGAAGATGATGATATTGAAGAGGCAGCTCAAGAGGAAGTTGACAAGATTTTGTGGGAGGTTACAAGTGGTAAGCAAATTCACATGAGTTGAAGAATTCATTTACCATTATATGTGTCCCTCATTCGTAAGACATTTTAGGGAATTCACTGGGGGAATATAAGCAAGTATGAAACAAGGCAGTCTTTCTGAGGAGATATCTATATAGATAAAAAAATATACTTAAATTTGGCTTTACGTCTATTCAATATATGGGAGCGAAACTCTTGAACGACCTATCAGCTGACATTCGAAATTCTACCTAAAGGTTTTTTTTCAAAAAAAATTTAAAACATCAGTTGCTAAATGCTATGTGAATGCCTGAAAGAAATTTTTATTTGATATGTACATTTAACAAATTTTATTATTAAACCTTGCAATTTGGCATCGCCTTTGTGTTTATGGTTCTGATAGACAACAGGGGGGCTCTCATCTCGTTAGTTTACCTACTTTGTGAGCTCCTCCCTAAGAATTCTACTACATCTAGTTGCATTGTGTTGTTGTTTTTCCCTATGTTAGTATTATCAGTATTTTGTTAATAATCATTATTGTAATAGAATTTGAATATCAAATCAAATCAAATCAAATCAAATCAAATCAAATCAAATCAAATCAACATCTGTGACAAAAGGTTATTTTCTGTAAGAAACATCAGATATCATAAAACATATTGTCTTGCACCTTTATTTAAGAATGTGAAAGCCCTGCAATCACTATTTATGGCCTTAAAGTTATATGTTGTGAACAATAGTTGGCAAACATGCAAATAACTTTAAAACATTCAAACAATCTTAGAAAGGTTAAAATCATCAAATCTAAAATACATTGACAGACTACCAAGTACCATTACTAGCTAGCACAATTTGTATATTAGAAATTTAATATTGTTGGTTATAAATGTCTTTTTGTTAAGCAGATACATAAATTGCATCATTTTCCATTATTTCTCAGGTGTGCTTGGGAAAGCAGGCCCTGTTGCAGCTGGTGAACTTCCTGTGAGTATACTAAAAATATATTCAATACAGATTATAGCTCATCACAGTCACACATGGCTCTAGCCCAAAAAATTGCAAATTCATCAAAATGAGCTTGAGTTACTGTCAAATTTGGCGTACAGTCACACATGTTTACAGTCACTCTATTAATAGCCCATGAGAACCTCATAAATTACAAAATGATTGGTTTATCTAATCTATTTTCTCAATTAAAAAAGGGAACATTTTTATATTTTCAGAGGCAGAATCATCAACTTTTATCTATCTTGTATGTGCATTATTATATATAGGTCTCTCTTAATTATTCATACATTTTAGTATAATCCATTTTAGATTTTGTGAACTTTATTCTCTGCATAAAACTTATTATCAAAACATCTTCTGACTACTAGTTTCATCTATATTTTCAAATCAAGTACATAATTTATTTTTTAGAATGAGCCAGTTGGGGCCACAGCTGCATCCGATAATGAAGAAGATATATCAGAAATGCAAGCAAGACTTGAGGCCCTGCGAAGTTAAAAGTTTTGACTCAATTAACCCAAAACTTTTTTCTTATAAACAGCACTAAATATGATGTTGTCTTTCAGGTCGTATTCTTAAATTCAAGTCCTAATACCATTACCCTTTCAGGCAGTGTATTTGTATCTAAAAGGTATTTTCAGATGGCTTTTATTTGCTTCAAGGTAGCTCATTTTGCTGACATAAATCTAAACTGTATCTATCATTATTATAAGTCTAAGGTTTTTGTGAATATTATTTTTGTAAAACACTTTGAAATTAGTTGAATTCTTTCTTGCACAATATTAATTAAAAAGCATTTTCTAGTTGAAAATATTCTCTGTATGATATCATCAATACAGTATCAACTTCTGATGTAAGGAGATTAGATTTTTAAAGGGATTCATTGCAGTAGGCTAACTTTCTCATATCATTTGATATTTCACCTGGTTTCTGCAGCTTCCTCCGTGTTTGAGATACCTTGCTAAATTAGTTCCTTTGGTATCAAAATTTATCTCTAAGATCTTTTTTGCCATAATTGATATAGCAAAAAGTCTTTATGAGGATTAGGTCTTCACAAAAATTAAGGAAGTCTAGTGAAATAGCGAAAGGAAACCAAGCAACAAGGTTTTGTAGAGGAAACATTTTGATATTAATATAATGCTGCCTACAAAATACATTGACATTCATATAAAAATATGAAACTTTCCTTCACTATCACTAGAATAAAACACCCGATGGGATTACAATACATATTATAGTGTTAATGTCAATCCACTAACATTTTGGTTTTGAACCACTACAATAAGGCATTGATACAATAAGGTAACAATAAAATATCATACCAACTGCCACACAGTTATCAAAATTCAAAATTTGTTTTTAATTTTGCACTTTACTATTTTAGCAATCCAAAGTTGCAGTAATTCACAGTCATTTATTTCCATTTCTTTTCTATGTCTTCACTGCGACTACAAATTGCAAATACATCACCCATGCATCATTATAAAAAACATCCTCCAATATCACTGATTATACAAAAATTGGCAACCAGCAGACTTCAATGACTTTAGAGACCCTTGTTGAAGAATACTTTTCCATGCTTGTGTCCAGTTTTTTCTTCAAAAATGAGCCTCATTTCTGGTTCAAGGTGATCCACTGATAATGAGCTGTAAAACAAACTCAAATTACGTACAGAAGTAAATCCAACTAAACCTCAAATTCTCATTATATGTTTCCAGAAGTAAAAAAATAATTACCAAATTATTGACCCTATTACACAAGAAACTGGCTCCATTTGGCATAATATATGGTCCTGAACTTAGGAGTCAGCAATGACCCTGTTTTCACGAGAGAAACAGGCTCTATTTGGTACCAGTTCTGAGTCCAGTTTTGCTGTCAATCCTGGTCCCAATTCAGCTCCCTGTTCTGGTCTCTGTTCTGGTCGTTGTTCTGGTCCTATTTCTTGTACTTGTTCTGATTCCCGTTCTGGTCGTTGTTCTGGTCCCTTTTCTTGTTCCAAATTGAGCCAGCAGTTTTCATCGTTCGAACAAGACAAAATAATAGCTCCCGTTTATTTGGGTCCATGTCCAGTGAAAAGGTACTTTGAAGCTGTATCTTAACGCCTGTATGTTGTACGAATTTCATCAAAAGGTCTAAAACGCACCAGATTCCTTTTGAATTCAATTAGACAGTGTGCTATAGCCTTTGGTTTGTCATTTGAAATTTTAATGCCTTCAGGTGGGTTATAGAAAAAATATGGATTCTGTTATCTTGCACAATCAAGTAACATCGAAACTGTGAGCAAATTGCATTGCTTTCTCCAACCTGAGCATTCGCCAATAACTCTATTTGAAAAGGTCACCAAATAATCCCATTTAAATAAGATGCATACAAAAGCAAGGGCTAAATCTGGCACCAAAATCCTTGCACTGATACAACGTCGTTAAAACATTTTAACAAAGTTTTTTGAGAAATGGTAAATTACTCTAGTCAAAAACTGAAATGTTGAAGAAAAATTTGGTCCAGACATGGTCGTCCTATTCTTTTGTAAATGAAAAAAATTGGACCTCTACAAACGTTTAAGGTCCGAAGAGTCAGGCGTTTCGCTGGTTCCAACTAACTCACTACGCGAAGCGATCTGCATACCAAATCAATATGAACCTACCATTTTTGTGGGAACATTGCACAACCAATAGGTACCATGAAAACCAATCTATAAACAAATGAAACATAAAACTGCAGGATCTTCTAGAATTTGAAAAACTGCATATTTTACACTTACTTATATGGCACAAAATTGTGGAAACGTAACGTTGTAGCTAAAACACTCAGTATACCGTTTGTTTGACATTCTTTTAATGTATAAAAACAAAAAAAACGAATGAAAGGATGCCGTGTTTGACTGGTTCCTTCTGTTTCACCAACATATCTAACGTATGCATAAAGAAAAGGTCACGATAGCAGTCTGCTCGACGGGCTCCAAGGAGTTCTTGCGGTGAAAAATCGATGAAAATGTAGCAAATAAGAAACACCGCAATGCGACGAGAATGAACAACAATAAATACACGTAAATTAGTGAAGGCTTATTTACGTGTATTTATTGCTGTTCATTCTCGTCGCATTGCGGTGTTTCTTATTGGCTACATATTTATCGTAGATAGATTGCAAAATGCCTAAATAAAAAGATGCCAGCAAATTTGAAGATTTAATGCACCGCCAGAAAGTGTATGATCTTGACTGTCATAAAGGTATAATCGACCAACTTGATCTAGCTGCCAGAGTATGTGTTTTGTCAAAGAAGTATCTTTGAAGGACATACGTAACAAATACTGTTCCCTAACCAAGCATTAAATTTCACTGAAGACATGATTGTAAAACTAGCCCTGAAAAGATATTATATTAGGGAGGGTAGAAGGGGACCAGAAGACGAGGCAGGCAAAGAACAAGATGACTGGATGTCTTGAAAGATTAAACTGCGATGTCCTTGCACAAACTTAATGAAAAAAATGAACAGAACAAAATTGAGATTGTTTGTTTAGAGGATCGCCAGAGTTCACCAGCGACTTGACCTGACACAAACACACACACAACTAAGCATTTGCATATTTATCTTTAAATAATCTAAGACTAAGTTTTAAAAAATTTGAATTGTCAACAAATTTTGAGATAGTGGCTAGTTCGAATTTCAGAGCATTTCATTTTTTATATAAAGAGAAAATGAAGGCTTAGTAAGCAGTTTCACACAGAACAGATAGGTAATGAATCTGGCTTTGAAAAAAGCAAACATTTTACAACATATTGGCTAAAAGCCTTTTCGTCTGACACTCCTCAGAGCAGAAAACGTCAGAATAAGGGTACAAAAGAACACGATAAAAAATATATACCCAGTTGTGGATCGAAATAGGCCAATCAGAAAAACGCAAGCAAAGACCGGTATACCTGACCAGTCAGAGCTGCGTGTCAACAGAAAAATTACCACTGGAGTTCAAGAGAGAAAACAATCCATCAATCTAATGAATCCATCAGCAAACATACATACAAGTTCTTCATAAGGCAGAACAGGAAAAACGTAAAAATCACACGATAGACTAACAGGCTGAAATTTAAGAAACTGATAGACTTACGAAACACCGCACATCAGAATCTGGATTGGAGCATGTAATATTCTAATTCGCTGTAGAATAAACAAACAAGGATTTGATTATCTTTCACCTAAATAAAGTTTTATCATCAGGGGTCGTATAAAAACAAGTGAAAGTGTACTACAATGTTGCTGCATTCCGGGCTACAGTCATTACACACTATTTATACTTGTGACAGACCTACATTCTCAAATAAAGTTATTATATACCAAAAGCTTTGCCGAAAAATGGAATCCACTCACCTGCATAAAACGATATTTCTCTAGCTTCTCCATTATTATCGGAATTATTACTATAAAAAAAATGATTCTTATAAAGGGCACTATGAAGTAATGTTATTTAATTTAATTACATATACCGTATTTCTCTAAAGAACGCCGCGGAGTTCATTACAAATCCAAATTTTGGGTGCAGCGTTTTATAGAGGGCGGCGTTTATCAGAGGTTGGCGTTCATTAGATCCGGTAGACTGGTTCAATGCTTTGAAAAGTCATTTGCGGTATAAAATTGTTTGTTATATAACAAAGAAAACAGAAACAAGGTAAACATAGCGTCTTCAAACAAATATCTTTCTTTTATTTGATTTAAATCAATCAAAAAAGGTGCAAGCTCCAAAATATCCTGTAAAAGTCATCTTATCTTAAGATTTTCCATTACCTATTCATATCTTTATTCCAGTGTAGGATATAAAAGGTACTATCCTACAGATGGCATCCTTGAATATAACAATATCCCATATACTTTTGCTTACAATATACTCCCATATGTGTCACTTCCCTTATGTAAAGTCACATTTGAAGAACAGAAGCTTGTCGTCGCGCCTTGGAAAAGCGTCTTAAGTAAGAGAAGCGCCGATGATACTGTCAGGGCGAATCAACTGTATATCAGCACTACTCCCAAAGTCGATAATCTTTAATCACACCTAACATTTGGCCAGAAATGTTCAAAGGCTCACATAATCTTGTTTGCTTTAACATTTAAATAGAAGTAAAAAGAAGAGTGACAAAGTTTGCAAAAAAATATGGGCTTTTTTCACTCAAGCAGCGTTAGAAATAAGAAATACTTGATAGGAAAATTTTTCAAAGGTGATAAAGATGTTATCCACACATGGCTTAGCCAGAATAATGAAATAAAACCCAAAACTGGAATTAAATGTGGGAAACATACACATTCCAGGAGCAGCCATTGTTATCCTCGAAGTAACAACTTGCGTTATGCCTTTTACTGCTGCTCTTTTTGAATGTCCAATAAATTCCCCGTTTTCATCATAAACTGCAATACCATTTGTAAGTTCCCTTAAAAACAAATAGAAATTGTATCTCAATTAAAAAAACTAATTACAGAAAAGTAACGATCGGTAAAACTGTGAAGAAAATTTCAGTAGGAAGAAAATTTTTTGAATAAATGAATATATGATGCGATTTGGTTTTCTAGGTAAGAAGCAAACAAGTTTTAGACTTTTTTCCTAGAAAGTGAGCCGAGAGCGAGCCTTGATCCTATGAAACATATCACCGATGAAAGTGAACTGTACTCTCCCATAGATTCATCTCAAACAATAAGGGATAGAAGACTTAGATTTCAATTTAAATTCGATTACTTCAATTTTCACGAATCAAACCGTAGGGAAACAAAATGCAACATCAGTAGCAGCTTCTGTAAACCATACATTGATTCTATGTTTTATTTCTTAGTGACAGCAACATCTGATAGGAATAAACCTTCACTTCTACATATCACTGATGCAAACCATGGAGATTTTACAACAAAAGTCAGAGCACGCTAACCAGCACTTATTTTTTAATTTTTTTATTTAAAAATGTTCATCCACAAAGCCCTATCAGCTAATGATAAAGTGAACATTGGGATAAAATAACTATTCTTCCTAGCTGTTCTTCCTAAAGATCGTGCTTTGGGAATTATTGCTGAATTAGCAAGTAGTTTTTCAACTTTTTCTTGAAAATGGTAGGACTAGAATTGAAGGTAAAAGAGACAGGGTAAAGCAAAGAACAACATACATGGATAGTTTGAAGCTGCTGACCAACGAGAAGAACGCTGGAATTTTAATTCAAAAAGCTGATGACAGAGAACACTAAAAGTCACTGATCGTCAACGTCTGTAATCAGAAACGACATAACAACTGAAATTGAAATTGAATGTTCAAAAGGCAAATAGACAATAACCTACCGTTGCCTCATCAGTGGAATGTTGACACAGTTTGCCGAAGCTACAGCAGCAAATGGGACAAATCTGGCAATCAGAGGAGGAGCAGCCTATAAAAAGAAGACACGTTGACAAATCTTATGGATAGTAATTCGGAAGCAGAATTGAAGCAAATGTAAATATTTAAAAAAAGAGGAAAATTTGAAAATATCAACATATTGAAACTCAATATTTTTTCAAATTTTGTACAATGCTCATTTTTGTATAAAGGTATTTATCTAATTTCCTTGAACAAAAACACAATTAATATCCAAAAAGAGAACTGCTTACTATTCGAGGGCCATACAAAACAGGCAATAAAACAACGTTATGTTGAGTACAAGCTATTACTGAGCATAAATGAGAAGGAATTAAAAATAACTTGAAGATGTTTCATATATTGTCTCAATCCATTTCTTATCGTAATTTTTATGGCATTAGTAATGCTCCTGTTGCCTAAAATTGCTACACTGTGCCTAGCGGAAAACTTTTTCGAGATTGTTGTAAAACGAATCGGTAAAATATCGGACATACAGTGAAATCGTTTAAGTATTACATAACTGTAGAGATCAAGAAACGCTTTATTAATGACTTTTTTAATTCATTCAGAAGTCAAAAACAGGTCCAAAAGAAATCAATGTAAATTCTTTTTCCTTCATCTTTCGTCTTATAGATAATAAATAAGTTGGAAAGTTGCAAGATTAAACAGAAAAAATAGCTACCCTTGTTAAAGAATTTAAAGCTACTGAAACAATAGTTGCTGTTGTTGTTGCAGAGGCATACGCAACTCCAATTTGTCTAGAGAAAAGAAAGGGAGAGTAGAGAATATTTAAAAATATTTTACAATGCTCAGAGAGGAGAGAATAGAAAAAATAACATTCTGATACCCTTCCACATTTCCAAGCATTTATTAAGAAATAAGCTTTTGCCTTTACCTTGCCAATCAGTTTTGCAGAGCTTCTCTTATTTGATAAAAATCACAGAGTGTGTGGCAAGTTATGTTATTTTGGGAAATTAGGTATGAATAAATACGTTCCTGTTTGTTTTATGGTAGTCTTTTCTATCACTTCCTCGCCTATGCAGCAAAATGTTAAAGTTTCATATTGACAATATTTTTAACATGTCAGTTTTGGACACTGAATTATCAACTTTGTCAGAATGATCAACTTTGTCAGAATGATCAACTGAGTCATGCTAATCTGCCTTGATTGATTCCTTTTCACCGATGCTTCAATTTACTTTATCAACAACAATAAACGTGAAAAGTACAGTTCACATAATATCTTATGGCATGTTTCTTTTATTATCTGAAAATCTGGAGTATATAGACAACAACATGTGGATATAACTGTGGCATACAATGGAAGTTATCAAACAAATTTTCACCATGATTAAAAGTGCTAAACAAATTCTTACTTGTTTGTAACATCAGATTTTGCATTTCTATTGGTATAATTTACAAAGGCATTGAACGATTGATTCACCCATTGCCAAAAAACAACTTGAGGTACTGTCCTGAAGAAGAAGAGAGGAATAGTGTCAAAAACATCAATGAATACAGAGACAACACAGTTTTGAGTAGAATTTCATACTAAATTGACCTAGAAATTTTCTTAAACGTTAATCAGTAGCTGCCACTAATATTTTTGCATAATATTTAAGACATATTTATAGTGTCTAGAACATTAAGAAAGTATATATAGGGATACTGGTCACCCAAATAGTTTGAGAAGAAAAAATGGCCTCGCAGAAAGAGATAAAATCTAGGGTGCGTTTGTGGATTCGAATAAGAAGGTGCTTATAACAATTAAACTCGAAAATTAGACACAAAATGCACACAAAGTCGTATTTTTTTGTAGTTAAAACACATCAACTTCACTTAAGAAAGAAATAAGTGTATCTCCCCCTGCTATTTTGGGGGGATTTATGAACGGCTGAGGAGCAGAGTCGGACAGCAGAGGCAGGAAATTGCATAGATGAACAAGGATACTCTCCCTGCTCCCTTCCTTCTTCCAATTTTTCTTCCAAAACTCTCTATTGGTTACCTTGACTCTTAAAAGGTTTACCCTGGAGAGAAGAAGATCCACAACCGGGCTGGAAGTTCATTTGCTGTTTATTTATGATTGTAGGTACTGTTCTTCATCTACTTTCTTTCTTCCCAACATTCTTTCTTACAGTCTTTTTTTATTGATTTTGAAAAAAGGCAATGTTTCAAAAAACAAATTTAACAAGTTTACATTGTAGACCCTGTAGTTTCACTAAACACCTATACATTCTAAGGTATGCCAACAAAGATGTGATTAGTAAGATAGAGATGCAGTTGAAAAAAGCTATTGCAGAAAGGTTAAAGAAGAAAGCAAAAATATGGCTGGAAACTGAAGGTCAAGTCGACTGCAACAAATTTGAAATTGATAATGCGGTCATCGAGATTGCTGTTAGTAAAAGGAATATTCCTTGTATCAATGTAAGGAATAAGGCAGGATTTGGAAAAGAAATCCAAAAATGAAGTCTACTAGGAAGAGTGGCAATCAGTAAACTGATTAAGTCACAAGGGATAAAGACATACTAACATAAAAAAGTCAATGAACTGAAGGTCATCATATATTCCCTGTGTGGATATATGGTATGATTGTTGGAACATCAGAGCCCCAATGCAAAAGAAAATTGACAGTATTGAGATGCAGCACTAGCAGTGCCACTATAAGAGAAGAGAACCAAAAAGATATTAACCAGACAAATTCAGCAAGAATCAGACCTTTAAGCAAGATTACCAGGCAGTTCTTATTGTACCTTCGCCATGTAAGAAGGACTGGCAAACAATCATGGTAGGCAAAGGGAAAAGCACAGAACTCTGGACCAGTAGAGGGAGGCTCCAATTGTAGTTTGCCACCATTATCTTCGATGCTACAGCCTTGATATCACATTTCAGCAGAAAAGTGAAGGGGCTACAGCACACCTAGCCCCCTGGCTCTGGCATGCATGCAGAAGGCATACCAACAAGATGGATTGAAGGGATTACAAAACCAACTCAGCTAGAGCTGATTTAGAGGATTACTGACCCATGAGGTCATCAGAAGTCAGCTTCACTAAATGGCACTTCACAACAAGCCCATTCTTAAAAACTTTGATAGAAAGCAGCATTTAGTTGTTAGTTGCTGGATATTTTTCTTGCCATACAAGGTACTTTATTCCAGTGCAAAATTTCTGCTGCAGCTCTGAACAAATTAGCTGCCATCTTGGCTGGACCTTTGCAACAATTTGGAAACTGAAAAGAAATGCCATGAACTTCCAAACCAGGATTTGTTGATAGGTAATTTTTTCAAATAAAATATGCCATGCAGTTTGCTAATACAAATACAAGAAGTGGTTATTCTCAAAATTGCTACTTCAAGTGGACCCATTGATGACAGACATTTATTAATTTCATAGTAATTGACTTACTTGTAAAACTGTAACAAGCACCCAGTGATGAGCATACCTCCTGGAACTTGAAAGGACATTCTACCAACTACATTCATTTTGTCACCCGTGTCTGGGTGGAAAGCTGATAGATAAAGTTTTTGAGCATATCGAATCTGCTCTTCTGTTGTGCCAGGGGGTTCAGTGCCAATTCTAAATGAACAAATAGATAGATTTTAAATTAAAAACAACCACAGTTTCATGAAAGCTTATTAGACTTCGTATGAATTTATTTGAAGCAAAACTTGCCTTGGCCCTATACAGAAACAAAGAACATGAGAATCAGATTGTGTTTCTTCTTATTGTTCAAAAGAACTACTCATCACTGGTTAAAGTGACACTGACATGAATTTTTACATCTGAAGATTTCAACAATATTTTATGAGACACAGGTTGGGGGCTCATTGAACCCAAGATTATATTCTGTTTGTCTGTTTTCACTGTCAAAGTAAAAATTTCAGACTTTGAAAATTGGGATATACATTTTTGATATGCCACTTCTTTTTCTGGTCTGCTGCAGGGAAACAAAGGGTTTGACGTCATTTGGAAGCTCTGGATCAGGGCTTGTTGCCATGGCTGGGTCAATCTGTGGCCTTCTTTTCTTTTCTTTTGCTTTTAAAGGTGAAAGGAGGACACAATGAGCCATAGTAGTGGTGGTGGTAGTAATAGATATGTCTTCCGTATTTTTGTCGGTGTAAACAAGCAAATCTTGTTCCTGTGTTATGGCATCCTCGCACACTCACGACATTTCTTGCAACATTTCTCGCACCATGGCTTTCCCCCGAAATCAGATCCCCATATTTCTGCCCCTGTCTTGTTTTAATGCAGATAGAATGAAATTTTATCAGAGTAAATTTCACAAGGGATGTTGTAGAATTTGATTTACTACTTACTAGGGGTTTTACTTTTGTCCAAATTATCTTTTCCTCTTTGGGTGTCAATTATTATGCTTTCATTCTGGTAGTTGGTTCTTGTGTGCCCCTTTTCGATGCATTTGGGATATAGGGCAGTAGGAGTTCTGTATATTGGGTTTCTAAACAGAGTTGTTGGTCCCTTGGCTCTGATGAGGGTAATTAAGCATTTGGGTGGGGCTTATCGCAATTGTTGGTAGACTTTTCAACGTTCTTCTCTTTTCCCGTACCCTCCCTCCCTTTTTGGTATCTAGCTAATTGTGTTTTCTTTTTTGAGTCTTTCCCTCTCATACCTTAGGAATCTAAGGTAGGACTGGTGCATCGGCCAGCCCCCTAATGAGGAAAAGTGATTTTTTCTTGTCCATTACCTGCCCAGAACTTAAAACTGCTTGCACTTGAGTTGATCAAGCTATATCTAAGGTTTAGGTTTTTTACTTGGGTTAGGTGGAGCCGATGCACCACTGCCCCAACGTTGCTCGCCGTGATGAGGGAATGTAGTTTCAATGCCTGATTTCATGAGGGATGTGGCAATGTTATTTCTGAGGGAGCTATTTTTTATCAAAGTGAAAACATTCCTCTTTGATGTTATTCTCCTGAGTAGAAAATTAACACAGAAATTTTGTTCCCACAAATGAAAAAATCTCTACATAGACTGACTTCCATGCATTTGGGATATCACTTAATGGTTATAATTTTTTGTATTAGTACCTCTGTTATACAATAACAAGTAGTAAAATAACAAATGCTAAAACAAGGAAGGTCAAGTTATCCCACTGGTCATTTTAAACACCTTTCCAAACTCACCTGTACTGACTTAGTAGCTTGCTTGCATTATCCAAATCAGTCTCACTGCAAAGTGCAGTCCTTGGATCTGTTATACTAAAAAAGTGCTTTAGCCTTCCCAGAAATGTTGACTGATCCCATTTTGGCAAATCAACATCAATCCTTTCTGCTCTTATAGCAGCAGCCATGGCAAGCCTGTAAAGCAAAATGATTTGCAGTTATTAAGGTAAAATGATTCAAATGAGAAATTTTAAGGGTGCTCATGGTACAGACAGGGAGGTGCCACAGCCACTGGGACATGGAAGTTGATTGAAATATCCACAAAGATACCTAAGCAGCAGATTATTAAACCCCTAAGTGAGCTTGCATAATAAAAATCAATCAGATTTTTCTCTAGATTTTCAGAAGTGAACACAGAGGCGTCTTGGCAGGGGGGTTAAATTTTCTTTAAACAGGCAATTCTCATCACTTCACTTGGGGCAAATGCTCCACCTTGCAGAATGCTGAGAAGATCTTCCCTGTACAATTTTGATATTTTCCAGCCACACCCATAGAATAACACTTTAAAAGCTTTGCCCCAACCTCTTTTCAGAAAATTGACATTAGTGTTTTATCAGAGGGTGAAATGTAATACCTACCCTAAACTACTCTTAAAAGTAGTCTGTAAAAAGGAAGCAATCTCTGCTTGTCTAAAAGAAAGACAACTTTTTCCTGGGGTCTACAGCCATCTTCTGCAAAGGTATGCCAATGTCACAAAAAACAGCTAATGAACTTGTTAAGAACTTTATCTATTATGATCACCGCTATATACTATCGCTAATCACGCATAGTTCGGTCTTATGCAGTGGCATAGTGTACGGGTATTCTAGGTATTCAGTGAATACCCTGAGATTTTTCAGAAAAAATATTAATACAACGTAAAATTGTCATAACTAAAAAATGGTTTGGGGCTATTGATTCTGGTTGAATTTGTTGCCTTTGAATGCTACATTTGGCACAAGTACAAAATATCACGAAATTCATGGAAACAAAAACGCTGTGACACATAGAGAAGCTGGGAGATCTTTGAAGCTAATTTTGAAGATTGAGCTACTTCATGTTGAATGAATTGTTCATGAATACCAATGAATACCTTAGACGGTACTTCAACCAATCAAAATGCTCCTTTTCATGAATAATATTTACCATTAATCAGCTAAAACAATGGTCCTGTATGCTGAGAAATATGCAGCGTACAGCCTCAAAGTTGGTTCAAAATAGTCTTGCTTTGAGATCAATGTAAACAGCTAATGGACGTCAGAGCAGTTGGAGCTTCATTGAAAACATTCAAAAACTATTGCAATGTCTGTATTACTGTTTCATAATCATTCTCTCATTTGGCCCCTAATCCACCAGCAGCAAAGTGGAAAGGAAAGGCAGGCTTCATAATACATAAACATAATACTACACTCAGATCTCTGCCCTTGAAATGCCAATTTTGTTATTGCTTGTCAGTCGGGGATGCTTCTGTTTGTATTATTTGATAGAATAAAGTAAATGCAGATTGGCTCGGATAATTTCCTTATAATTGCCTGGTGCATTCACATATAGTGTTGGCCTATTTTGTTTGCATTATTCGAGCGCCTATTGTGCAGTCTTGTCTATTACCTTCGATTCTTTCAAACATGAACATTGAAAATATCACCATTAGGCCATGAAGAAAAAAGTCTAGACTGCATACCACAATCTGTTTATAACTCACATTATTCTTTATGTGAATAATTTCGAACTTTCAAAAGCCCTTTTGCATTAAGGAATCAAGAGTAGGTGTTTACATTTACTTCCTCTTTACATCAGTGCATATTTTACAGAATTAAACAACAACTATTGTGACATATTTTGACCAATATATTTTTACTGACTTTCAATGATATGTTTTGATTATGATGAATTCATGAAAACGATACTTTGCTAAAGAACCCAACGCAAATACACTCTTCGAACTTGTTCATTGCATCAAATTACCACTAACCATTCCATCAAAAGCAATTCATAACGTCTTGATAGTGCGGTACTTGCCAACCGAACCAACAAGAAAATTAAATAAAATGTCAATAGCTAGTCCTTTTAATCTTCCTATTATTTCCTTATTTTTACCAAGCCCCACCAAGCCACACCCTGCCCCAACCTCTTCTTTAATAGAGAATACCCAGTTGAAAAAGTCACGCTACGTCACTGGTCTGGTCTTGTGACCCTCAAGCTTGCACTGCGATATATCTGCTTTTAGATTTTGTATTGTTCTCATTTACTTCTTTATGTTATGTTTAGATACAAGTTGTGTTTTCTTTACACTGTTATCTTAACAGAACTTACTTGCTGTGCCTTGCCTTCACCCAATGCCACGACCACAACAAAAACAACGGCAACAGCATACATTTGATAATTCTGGTTCCCTGGTTCCCTGTACCTAACGCATTAAATCGAGGCACAGGCGAGGGGAGACCTTTCATTCAAAACATGAACATTCCTGGAACCGCGACTACTACTTCTCCGACTTGATTTGGAAGAACACTTTATTTTATCGAATATCAACGATACATTTATGATATTGCCCCCGATAAACTTATGCTTAAGTTGTCTTACAATTGCTATATTCGAGGAAACCTCAAGTGCTCGCAGGAGCTGATGAGATACAGTCAGTTTGCTATGTCTTCGTCTAGAGATAAATTCAGAGGTTGTTTGGTTGGTGCAATCATTGGCGATTGCTTGGGTGCACCGTTTGAAGGCTCGAGTAGAGGATGTATTTCAAGAGAAAAAATTGAAACTTTGATTGGCTTACAGTCAAAGAAGTTAGCCAAAGCAAGCAATGGATCCTTTGAGTACACAGGTAATTCCTGTGGGTTAAGTTGATTTGACTGATAACTACATCCTCTCCTCTCTTTACCTTTTTCCTGGAAACATGTATTCATGTAGAGGCCAGTAGCATCGATTTGTAAGCTTTGATCCATAAACAAATAGATCACTCACAGTGAGCATCCACAATCTGCATTTACTGCCAGAGAAAGGCATATATTTGCCAACTTTGTGAAATATGTTAAGGTGAGACTTGATGTATCTGATAGGCTTGATGGCAAAATGCCTCCCTGAAAATCTTTTTACATTAAGCTTCTCAGATTGCCTTAGATGCAAAAATGAGCATTTTGCAAAAAGTATTTTATTAGTGTGAGCAGGGATGCCTGCACAAGATTAAAGCAGGAGGGGCAGCGTTTGTGCTGAGAGCAAATAACAGATGTACGAGGGATGTTGTGAGATGTACGAGGGATGCAAAGCAAAATATTGGCATGAATCTGTTCCACCCAAACAGCTGGGATTTTTGCAATCAAAAGCTCTAAACATAGGCATGAAGTTGAAAAAATGCTTGCCTCCTCTGCCCCTCCTGGAAGAGGGTAGGTGGGGCACCTGCCCCTGCACCCCTCCAGGTTGAGCAGCCCTGAGTGTGAGCACCTGATTGTAAATTAGCTCCCCTCACTCTAATAGATAGTCTACCTAGTTTAAAAAACTTTTGTTTCTAAAAGGAGAAAATTCAGCAAAGGATTATAGTTTGATAGGAAACTAGCTGAAGGTTCCTAGACCTGTGACTATCTTCTCTGAATCGGTCTGTTTATAAAAGATAAGTGGGCAATTTCCTATTGGCCTTTTTAAGTCAATGAATAATTTGTGAAAACAGAAAATCTTTAAAACAAAAGGAAGTATGTTGGGTGTAGGTGTGGTCATGGGTGTGGTTTCTAGAAGTTGCCTACAACAATCACTCTCCTAACTCTTCAGGACGGAACCCCTGCTTCAAACCCTGCTGGAAGTTGATATTAGAGCTTGATTCAAAGTTAAGTTACCTTTTTTGCTATTTTGAATTTGATAAAATGTCTTCAGCACTCGGGTTTTCATGGGAAAATGCACATTAAAGAACAGATCATGATCCACTTTCAGTTTTAGTCTTGTACAAGCAAAATCATCACAGTTCTGACTCTGCTACTTTGATCTTGTTTAAAGTGGGTATAAGCGTATTTTTCATTTCTGAAAATCTGTTCATTTCAGTTTTCTCTCAACAGTCCACAAAATTTTCTGGCCTTCCTTAAAAGCACAAATCATGTAAAAAAGGGTTGATTTCAAAGAAAATAGTAAAATATCTGCAATTATATTTAGAAGTCCGTTATTATATATAGTTGGCCGTTGGCCTAGAAAAATTAGCCAAGCTATTTCAATACATTTCAAGCTCAAGTTGTTGAATTATTTTCAAAAGAAAAGTAAGAATTATGGACAAGTTAATCTCTTGAATTATATATTACTGCCTCTTTTTTTGTTTTCAGATCTGAATACCAATTTGCATGATAATTGTGCTTTCTAGAGAGAAAGAATAATAAAATTATAAAGCACTCCCCTTCTTGCCTTGGTATTTGATCTCACCAGCCTTGTAATTATCACTCCCAATGAAAAACTAACAAGGTCCTTTTAAAAGATAATTCCTTTTTGCTATTTTAGATGACTCGGCTATGGCAAGATCAATCTGTGCTTCTCTGCTCGCAAAGAATTGTTTTGATGGATCTGACCTAGCAAGCAGATTTTCAACTGAATACATACAGAGAAGCGACAGAGGCTATGGCTCTGGGGTAATCACTATATTTGACAAATGGAAAGAGAATGGAACAGACAGTGACCCATTTCTTGCAGCAAAAGAGCAGTTTGGAGGTTTGCATTTTTCGTCAAGTGTTGTTGAAATCCTGAAGCAGGCTCTTTTTCACTTTCAGGAAATTGGATTAATTAGTAGGAAGAGCAGATGCTTTTTTTTAAATTATCAGTTCTTATTAACAAATAACAAATTAGATTTTAGATTAATTCGATTTTAAGATTTTCAATCTTGCCTGCTAAAAATTCTATTAAGGAGTTGCAGCTAGAGAAAACTGAAGTTTTTTAACGAATTGGAATTCCTTCTATTGCGTGTATCATATTTCTTTTACGTAGAAAAAACATTTCTAGTGACTCAGAAGTGAGGCTTGCTTATTCGCTTTCAAGCAAATCAATAGGTCATAGTATAGGTTTCATAGAGAGCCTGCTATGTTTCCCAGATTAAAAAGCTAAAATTTGTTTAAACAAAACAATCTTACATATCTTGTCGCAATGAATTCTTTGACATGTTGGAGCGACAAGCGTTTAACTTTCTATCTGCCGATTTTAATTGTAGGCTCTGGGTCTTATGGTAACGGTGCGGCAATGAGAGTAGCACCAGTTGCTTTGTTTGAAAAAGAAGAGGAGGATGTCATCAAGGTAAACATTTTATCTCCAACTTCTCAATTAAAATGATTTTATGCTCATATCGATGTAGACAGTGCTTTTTCATTAATCTTTTTTAACCAAGCTCCAGTTTTGGGGCTGGTACAGCTAGTTTCTGAGTTATATGTTCTGTTTTTTTATTAATATACAACTAATAATAGCTTACAATCAACGGGTAGCTACAGGGTTGGTGTTTTCTGCAACACGATTTCTCTGCAAAGATGGCTACTACCTAGAACTGTTTCGCAACTAAAAGTGAACAAAGCAGAGCATTCTTGCAAGTAAGGCCATGATTGTACAAATTAATTACTGGTTATATGGCAATAACAGTCCATGTGAAACCTAGCTTTTGCTCCTCCAAGAATATACGACATGAAGTTTAATAATGTTTGATAGTCATTCTCACTGACAAAAGGTCTAATTTTTCTAGGGTTAATCAAGCAAGTCATTTTTTCTTAATCCTTATTCATATTCCTCCGATTTTGATACAAATGAAGATTCATAGCTATGCTGAGCTAGCTGTAATGGCTACTGCTAGTCATAGCAGCAATAATCATGATCTATCCTGTTACGCCTGTCAGCAATGCTTGTTTATCAAAGCCATTGGCTTTGCCCAGTTATTAGGGTCACGGACAACAGATCCATGGGTCTAGGGCTCGGGTCCCTTACTTGACCAAACTTTTACTCAGAGTGCGGGGAGTCGCCAGCTCCGTGCAATTCCAGGTTAGTAATCACCAGGTGTGGACACGACGAGAGGAAGGACCAGGACACTCAGATGCCAGGTAGAAACAAGTACAAATTATCGAAAATAGCAACTCCTGAACTATAGAATATACAACGTGCGAATCATAGAGGAAATAAAACCATGTCATCAAGTTTGCACGATAAATAACAAAATAGTATTTGCTTTGATGCAAATATGAAAAACATGACGAAAAAAGAATTAAACGTAATAGATATACTGCTGCTTTTCAGCACATAGTTGAAACCCTACATTCAAATTGAGCCGTTCCATTGACTATGTTTAAAGTAAACAGCCAAAAAGATTTACAATTATTCCTCTTCTACTGTTTTGAAACCTTCAAATTTATTTCCTTGCACCTGTTGGTTATTTTCAGATGTTTCATACTCTTAGAATCCACGTCAGAAACATTTTTTAAGTTTATTTCAATTTGTATCTGCTCTTTTCTTGCAAAGTTAACATTTTCATTTGCTGTGTAATCGTTTCATCGCATCTAGATTAGAATGACCAAACCGATGGGTGATTGCAAAATAGGTTGAAAAATGACCTCTGAAGATCCTGCGACAGTGCGTCATACAGAAGGCATTGCAAAAGTAATTGCCCTTATGTGTGAAAAATGACTCTTTTCATTCGCCCTGTTGCAGTCGCGGACTGACAAAAATGGCCTAAACTGTCCATTTTTCCGAATTATTACTCATTTTGCCCATTTAAGTACTCAAAATTATAATACAAACCGTGTCTTATCGTCTAATGCCAATAAATTTTTTGGAAGTGAAAGACAGGATTTCTTAATTGTCTAGTATTAGTATAATTTCCCCTTTAATCTAACCAAGATAATCCGGATTTTGGATCTCATTATCCGGTTTATTCCATTACTAAATGACATTAGTTTACTAGGCATTTGAAAAGCGAGCAGTTCTTGGAATGATAGCATTATAAGCCCTTTCTTTGCTGAATTTTTTAAGTAAGTCGACACAGGAGGAGTGCTTTGAAACGTTCATGGGCAAGGGCGCCGTTTTCGAGGTTAAAGAAACGTGACATGAATGTCAAAACACAATTATTTTTCCAAGGTTTACCCATCCCAGTTCGTCATAAAATGTCAGTTCCTTATTAAAGCGCCAGCTACTGATAAAGATTTGGTTCAAGACAGTCTATTTCCCATACAGCCAGGACCTTACATACAATTTGTGAAATCGGTCAACGCGTAACTTAGTACGAGGCAAGACACCCCCTTACAGTCATAACATTTGGCGAATGTGGCTTTGGGAATCAAATTTAGAGTCAAAAGTCAATTGAGAATGCTTATGTTTCACCAAGGCTCGATCTCACATTCCAGAAAAGCGGCTTCTTCTGTTTTGCTTGCTTCCAGTTTCATTTTCCTCTGCCAAGAAAAACTGTGATGTGTCATCGTTAACAACATTTTAAACTGAACTAGGGACAGTAGAGGACGAAGTACTGAGCCCTGAGGTACCCAGGTGGATTTGGTTTCCCAATATAACCTGCATATACCATCATGCCACATTCTCTTTAAGCTTTGGAAAGGGCTAGCTGCCAAAAAGAAGGGACAGAAAGATTGTTATGTCTCGTAAGCTAGATAACTAGATAAGTTAGCAACAAAGGGGATGTCTTTTTTATAAAATGAATAACTATTCCAGCAAACTGATTGTCATATCATCTTTGATGAATAGCCGTTTTTACAGTTGTATATGTATTCGCTCATTTTTGTCGTTTGAAGTACATCGTCACGTTATTGCCTTAAATATTCAATATGGTTTTTTGTTTACATGGACGTTTTCTGTTTGCCAAGGTAGCTGAAGAAACTTCATTGTTAACTCATTCAAACAAATATGGCGTGAATGGTGGGATTCTGCAAGCTGTTGCTGTTCATAAGGTTTTGTTTGCACCCTCTGAAATAAACAAGACAGATTTGATTAACAGTCTTAAGGAAGCAATGCAAAAAATCGAGGTCGTAAAATCCAAGCAGAACTTTAGAGATGACCAGGTGTCACTATCTGCTGATCAGTAAGTTGAATCTGTGTTGAATTTTTGATCACTAGGGATTTATTTAAGTGTCATAATTGGCCTGTCATATATGATTTGGTTGAGGATATTTTCTCTAACATTTCCCAGTTTTCTCTCAAAAAGGTATTTTATTCAATTTTATTCAAACAGTTGAAACTTTGAATGTTGAAAACTTTCTGAAATCCAAATTGTCTTTATCATGTAGACGAAGGAAGCACTTGGGATGAGGGAGGGGCCCATTTGTGAGCTGCCAGTAGGTACTTAACCTCTGTTTCTAAAATATAGGGGCATGTGTCCCCTGGCTCCTACATCTGTGGTCTTTAGAAGCCTCAGGGAAGGTCTGTGAGATTTATGAAATATTTCTTAGGGAATCAGTGGATAAGGTAATTGAAAAGTGCCACCGCATCGTTCATAGTTCAATACCTGGAAATGCGTGTTCCACTGTCAAATGTTATCCTCCTCTCCTCTTGTTTTTTTCAGGGATTCAACTGTCCGGTTTAGCAGGCGTAGCAGTTTTTCTTTCACAAAACAACTCGAGAGAATGACCCAACTTATTGATAGTGGAGAGGAGTCAAATGATGTAAATCGCATTGTTGAGTGCCTGGGAAACGACATTTCAGCACAGGAGGCTGTTCCGGCTGCCATCTTTTCGTTTATCAAAAATTCAAATACAAACTTTGAAGAAGCACTTATATATGCATATACACTCGGTGGTGATACAGACACTATTGGAACAATGACGGGGGCATTAGCTGGTGCCCATTTTGGTTTTTCTTCAATTCCTGACCAATGGAAACGTGTTTGCGAGGGCGTTGATGATGCCTTGTGCTACGCTGACCAGTTTTACAACCGTATGTTTCCAGAATAATCAGGCAATCATTCACCTCAACAGAAATATAAACGGGACCTACCACCTACCCCCGGTTAAGAATAGCTCACGTTTTGGAATGAAAGCGCATGCACACTGAAAACGTTCCTATTGCGCATGCTCTTTTTCTGCGCGACGAAAGTTTTTTTATTTGCTAGAAGACGTTCCCTGTGCTCGTCTTCCTAGCTGTTACGTTTGGCATTATCTGCTGTGTCTATGCCATACAGCACCACCTGCCTGCATGTCGTCAACTTCAAACCATATTGTAATACACCTAAGTACCGTAAAGATACGGCTAAGTTTTATTTAATCTGTAAATACCGCCGTAAGCATGTTTTGAATGAACATCATACGGATGACTAAAGCAACAGTAGGGGTTCACCTCTAAAAAAACCTTTGTGGCATTTGGCTACCTGCGTTAACAATACAGAATATACTTACAGGGCCACTGTGAATGCAAAACTAAGGAAATCAATGTTCTATCAATTCCCACAATACGACATCATGTTGTTAATAGACGGTCAGATTGTAGATCGCCGAACCGGCAGTAGGAAGAAAGAGATAAACTAACAACGGAAAATAAGGAAATAACTTTGAGATTCCTCTGCATTTTAATAACAATGTTCCTATGGATGGTTTTCAAGACTATACATTGTTGTGTTTTTGGGCCTTTCCGAATTGAGTTAATGTACAATATGCTTTATTAATTAACTGCAAAACTTCAGAATGTTACTATGCAAGACAAAGACAGATTAACATGAAATCGTGTTAACGGCTTTAGTGTACTTTAAACATGCATATGTGAGGTTACATGGAGTAAATGAAATGCCTTATTTTCATTAAGTTGGTTGCGATGAATCTTTGTTGATTATGATAATTTTTTATAATGGTATTCATTACTTCGTTGTAATCTCATTCCTTCAAATCCTCGATCTCCGACATAAATTTGTTTTTACGTTTTATGGACTATTTGTGATCTTGTTATTCTGCGTCCATGACCCAAGAGTTTGTCCTCAATTTTATTTGTTTTTTTCCCTCTTAAACTTAGTTTCGTAGTTTTTCTTTTCTTTGCAAACATGGTTGAAGTCTTCAATATAGAGATTTTGACGCCAAGATGTTTCAAAAATACTGAACTTTTACTCTTAAAGATTGTGGACAGAAAGATGAAGATATTAAAAGTAAAATCAAGAATTCAGTCCAGAGCATGGAAACAAAATCCGAATGATATCGACACTGGCCAAGATTAACTAATCTTATATATGTGTCTACTTCTCTTACTTTTCATGTTTATTTAGAATCCCCTAATGAACAAACCTTGAATTTGTTTTTTGACTTAGCAGTAGAGGAACAAAACGTTTCATATTTACTGACTTAGGCTATTCGGTTGCTTCTTTTTGTTCTTTAGTCTTTTTAAAACTCTTCATACAAAGAAAAAAAATTCCAGAACAAAGTGTTCAAATGTTCCTAAAATTCCTCGAAAAATGTTTAAAATATCGTACTAAAGAATTTTTTAAAGGAAATGACAGTGAGCAAAAGAATGTGAACGAGAGGATGGTACTTCCAAAGGTATTCACTTGAATTTCAATGTGGTGGCTTTTTGTGATTTCAAAACAGTGGCATCCGTTTTTAGGTGGTTGTAGGCATGCAAGAAAACAAAGTTCCTGGTAGAATGTAGAGCAAAGTATTCGGAGTTCTTAATTGTGACGTCATAAAAATATACTTTTAAAGCTTTTAAATTTTGACCAGGTTTGATGAGGAAAGTGCTTGTGGCCAATCCCTAGTACATTTCATAATGCTCTTTTGGGTTATGAGGTCCAAATTAATAAACTTTAAAACATGTTTTTGTGACATCATCACTTAAGGATTCTATCAGCGTTTATCGTTTCATCCTTTTGTCGAATACTGCAAAGGCAGACTAGTATAAAACAGAATACGAAATAAAATCGAACAATGACCAAAACCCAATGCAACTTAGTTTTTCAAAATCAACACTCATTATCATGTTGCAGATGACGTTTTCTGACCATGGGCTCCGTAGTAGGTTGGAAACTGGGTGGGCCAAGGGAAAATTTGACAATCATAGCAAAAGATTTTGAAAAAAGCTCTATTGTTTTGCAAAAAAATCTTCGTCGAAGGCCCTGCTGACAATGAGTGTATATTGCTTGTCGTGTTAGTTAGCACTAAAACTATTGTCTTCTTATGCAACTTTTGTTTTAACATTGCATTGCTGATTTCCCAAAACATTTCAAATTGAGAGGCATCGTCTGTTGCCTTTAAGTCTCATTGTGTATAATTGTGGATACAAACTATAAAAGGCTATCTGCAACAGACCAAAAACACTTTTTCTTGAAAAATTTCTGCATCTGTGGAACGGATATTCATGTCTGTCCCAAGACCGAAGGTTTGAAAGATCCAAGACCGGAGTCCCTTACTCATTTCTTCAGTTTCGATAAAAGTTTAAATAAATTTGTCTTAATCCCAAAAATATCCAAAACGTAGACAATTAACATGTCGCATTCATTCGATGCTCAAACTCTTACAAACCTGAATTGAAAATGGTATATTCTTTATTCATCAATTCATTAATTGGCATGGCTTGCCAGCCCATAGAAACAAATAGGATGAGACTTTACTATTCATTGGTCGATGTCGCAAATAACATATGGACAAGTTCCCAAACTCTACAAGGATTTATTATTATCTAGGACTGTGGGTCATTATTTCTTTTAAAACTGACAAGTTTATAATCACCTTAGCATTTTTAATTATTTCCTGCACCTTATTTTGAATATGCTTTCAGAAAGAAATATTTTAATTTGATATCTTGGCATCTATCTGGTGCAAAGCCGAGGCTGCTTCAATAGTTAATTCCATTAAGATCGATTTGTGGTAAGGCATAAGCTACAAATCTCGATGGTTTGCATCTGCAATTTTCAGTTTTACATAAAAGTGGTTTTGTAATGAGTTATTTTGGTTAGCATTTTCTAAGCTGTGTATGCTTATAATTTATAATTTCTATGTGAGAAATATTCCTGGAGGGAATAAACCTCGACGAAAATTTTCTTAGACATTGAGTCGTTTAAAAATACAAAGTGATTAATATTGTTTTGATACTGAACAGAATCACATGAAAATAGAAGGAAAGCACTTTCTAAACAAACAATGCTTTGTGCCTACAGTCATTATGAAGGACCAAGTGCATTTTAGGGGTCTGTATCTTCCCAAAGAGAGGGTCGTCTTTGGAACTAGGAGGCTAAGCCGATCATTCTGGGGTCTACAGGCTTGTGTTCTGATAGGGTATGTTGTTGCATTTTCAACAGCCAGATTTCACGGTATAAACAAAGATATATCAGAAGAATTTCCATTAGAAAACTTTTAATCTAAACACTGCTCCAAAATGATTCATCGCTGCATGAACTGACTGCACCTTAAAACAAACTTTGCTTTTCCTTACATTTTCTATGTGCCTGGTGCTAATAATTAATCGAATTAAAAAGGGAATTGCATTACTGTAAAGCTTTTGTCTCTTTCCTGTATGAAAGTGTGGATTTTGTTTTGGGCATAATTGAAAACAAATTTGTATGACCAAAAATGGAAATTTTATGAAACTCTAAAAAACGTTCAAAATAGTTATTTTAGTTTTCTGTTAGAAAGCTCTGCATCTAGCCTATTTCATGAGAAAATTTACATTTCCTTAAAAGAAAAATGTAGCGTGAATCTCGGTTGAGATGTCGCTTCAATTATATTTTCATAGATTTGTTTCTCTCCCTACATGAAACAGTTTTACATCTCTGCTCCTGTTTCTCTCAAGTCGCCAGGACCTCCATAGGTACCGAATTTTTCGGAATGACACCTTCTTTATTACCAGCAGAATCGGAATTTCTTGCTGATTATGTCTTCGCCGTTTATTTTCTCACCAAACACAAGCATTCCAATCCCATTTTTTTTCTGATCCAGGATTTTTTGGGGGAGGGGGGTTAGGTTAAGTTTTGCCTGCACTGCATTCCCAACTCTAAGGGCCTCTAAGATCTTTTTCATTTCTGATTTTGATGACATTTGAACAAGAATTATAAGAGTTGCATGCTAAAATACAATTTCTAAATGAACAGAATCCTTTCATTTAAATCAAAAGTAAACATAAAGCTTCGACCGGGGGTTAACGTGATGCATCAATGCATCATGGAGATACCGCTGCTTTCAATCAAGGATATCATTTGAATGCATTGACAAGATGAAAGAAGGTGTACATAAATAGAACTGTGCTATTTTTTGTCTATGTTCAGTAAGTTTCAAGGTATGTCATTATTTGGTTGGAATATGATTATGATTTTCCAGTTATTGTGATGTTTTTAAGTTTCATTTATGGCGTCCCTTTAGAGTTATGGTTAATCCTCGTTAACGGCGGTTTGAACTTGTAAAGAATTGAATGTCGATCAATCTTACAGGGCAATCTGTCATTTGATTCCCTGTTCATATCTCAAAGATTTATTCACAGTTTTATCAAGCGGATAGCCGCGGAAAAGACAAGAAACACGCTTGGATTTTCGTCATTAGGCCTGTTTAGACATCGGTCCTTGTTGATCTTTCGCGCTAACAGTTATTTCAAGGAAGAAAATATCGTCAGAATGTATAGGCAACTGAAATGAAAGGTCAGTTTCCAAAATAAATATGAATGAGGAGACCATAATAGAATATTGCTGTCGAAGATTACGCAGGAAGGTGAGTGTTTTCGTGGAGCCTAAAATCGCTCTTGTTATGAATCCGTATAGCTTTGTGTATCATCAAAATATCATTCCAATAGTCGAATTTTGAGAAAGTTAGCTCCTCTGCCGGAGCTATCGAAGTATTTGCCAAACAGTTATTGTTGTGGATCACTTCCAAGCAACAGAATGGATCCATGTTCCTAAAGATAGCAAATCCTATTGGCAAGTTAATTTTGAAAGTCGATTTTTAATTAAGTCAATTCTTAAAGGTAAATGATTAAACGTCAACTTAAGAGACTATAAGTTAAGAAAAATAGGCCCGGTATTTCAGGCGATTTGTGAGTTAGCAACAGCAGATCCTATCAATAGCTCCTATCAATCACAATCGGTTGAAGATAAGTACTCATACAAAATGTATTAATTAGTTTTCAAAGACTTTATATACATGTAAATAACAATTTGTGATTTCAAAGTCTTTCATAATGTTCAAGGAATTTGATGTAAGTTGTTAGGCTAGATAGATGTTATGGATACAGTTAATATGTTATGGTATTTGGCTTTCTTGTATATCCAAATACATAAATTCTAACTTGACAATATTTTGTAAACAGAATTCCATAAATTACCTTGATTTTATAAGCCTCTTATAAGATAAACAAAATTCAACTATTGGCCAAGGTTACCAAATGATAAGTTCACTAAATTAATTTGCTGTGAATTCTAAGCAGTCTTACATAGTTCAATATAGGTTTATGTAGTAATCCTGTACCACAATATTTTGTAGCATTTTATAAACATTTCTAAGCATTGAAAAAGGGGAAACTTTCATATTTAGCAATTATTTAGCAAAAAATTATTGCTTTCTACTTTAGTTGCTGTTAATGTTTTTAAATATGTTGCCTGCTTTTACACTGCTCAACACTCAAGTTATAATTGCCTTCCAGATAAACACCTCTCAAGAAAAAATAGTTTCATGATCCCTAAAAACAGATTTATATATGGTAATTTGTGTGCAGTATTAAAATCCAAGGTTACATATCAGTATAGAATTATTTCTCTCAGTCTTTCAGTCTGTAAACTATTTACTTTTAAGAAGTAGAGAGACAAAAATGTGTTTCATATTGTCTATAGCAAAATTTTTGGCATACTGCTATCATATACATGTTTTATTCCATAATGCATAATGTCAACACATTTAAAAGAAATATTGATGTTAGCTTAGAATAAACACATAGTCTATTAGGGAAATCATGCTGTTTTTAAGAGTAACTGTAAATTAAGGAAAACTTATAACTGGATCAGATTATTAAAAAAATTTCATCAGAAAAAACTCCCACCTGCTTTAATCTAGATTTAGCTTTATCTAGATTTAATCTAAATTTAGATTTAAATATGTATGTAAATTTAATACTAATTACTGTTTTACTGGTCTTTTATAAAGTGCTTGATGCCATATAGGCAAAGCTATACACTCATCTCCCATAGACTGGAACTCCTGTTATATACACCAAAGTGTATTTATGAATAGTTATGTTTTATCATTTGGTGTATAGATTAATTTACATCTCTTCTTACATAGCATCAAGCATTCTTTGACAGAGATACAAATGTCTTCTTAACCATAATAGTGGCTTTATGGTACTTTCGTAAATGTGTATAGGATGTTTCTACTGAATCTGTATGCCTACTTTTGAACCCTACTTTTCTACTTAATGCTTACTCTTATTGTTCAACTTAATATTTGAATTTGGCTCTGTTCAGCATAAAAACAGAAGTTTTTTCCTCCTTTGTAGATATCCTTGAGCTTAAATATCTTAGGCCAATTGATTCTTTGTCAGGAAATGGGAGGGGGGCAGAGTGAGTTTATTTCAAAAACATATAACAAGAAGTTTAAGGTGAAATGGCATCAAAAAACTTCTATTTACCTTCAAATTGTTGATAAGCATTCAAAGCGTACTTTCATTATCAACAATTTTTTTTCGAAATTGCAACTTTTTAAGGATGCAAATGAAAACTGTTTTGTTACAATTGCATAAAGTACAATGCTCTTTCTGACAAAATTTTGCTTCTAAGTTACATGCCTTCTATTTCCAGAATGAATTATCCACTGAAAGTTTGTACCTTCACAAATGAAAATGTTTGCTCCATTCCCAATGATTTTTAACATTAATGTTTGACTGTGATGTGGGGCTCTGGGTTTCACTACAAGAATGCATGTTTTTTATAATTTCTTGATACAACCACAGATGCTTGTGATAAAGCAAACACATCATCTCATAAATTTTATTTTTATTTTTATGCATACATTTTTAGCAAATGAATAATATATGAACTATGCATAATTTTACTCAGTAGTTCAATAATGCAAGTATGGTCTTACTATAGTCAACATTTAAAGATAATTACCACTGACACTATTTACAATTGTGTGGCAAATATTTCATCATTACTAATTCATCTTTATTGTCTATATTTACTGTGACTGGCAGCAAACTTTAAATACCTTTGCCTCAAATGATTTCTAACAACTATGCCATTGAGACTTTTCATAGTACAGGTGATATTTGTATACATTTTATATTTATCAGAAGACAGTTTACGATTAGCTTGTGGTTGAATGATGGAAACCAGGTTTAAAATGATTGATATGTAAAATTGATTCCCCCATTAAGTTGTCTGTATGCATATTCAACAGAAAATCAATTGATGGTGACTCCATTCTCTTAATGAATATAGCCAATTTCTAAACCTTTTTTTATTGTCTTTAAGTATGTCATCTTTAATATCCTACTTGTATAACTCACTAATCCTATTATTAATAATGAAATTCAGCTTTCCAATTATCAATAACCATTTATCCAATTATATTTTCATTTCCTGTTCCACTGTTTTTGCCAGTTGTAATCATTTCACCCATTGCAGAGTTGCTTAAATGATTTAAAAAGGAACCCTGGGTAGAGAGCCCTGTGCATTTTCAAATTGAATCTACTATTTGACCAGCTGAAATATCTCAACCTCTCCTTCAATCTGAAAAGAATATGGCAATCAGTGAAATTTTCTTGAAAAGCTGAATTATTTTTTTATGAAACCTTTTTTAAGCAGTCTTAAATTGTAATAAGGTATTTGATATCATTAGATTTGGGATATATTTTTAGGAAACTAACTGTTTGATTGCCATTGCCATTCCCGGCATAATATACTACTTGCTATCTCTTTTTAACCTTTTTCTTTTCAAAAGATAGTGTTTCAAATAATTTTCAAAAATAATATGGTAAGCAGTTTGATAGTTTTTGAAAAGTCTCTCAAACCAATATCAACCTAATGTTATTATAAGTAATATTGCCAAGACATTACCTCGATGTTACTAAAAGTAATATTGATACAAGAATCATACCAACTTCCATGAAACCTTCTCTTTATCCAAGTACATTCTTTTTTACAACAAAATTTTAAATAATATTGCCTGTAACGTACGATTTTATAGAATGCTGTTGCCATAACATATTTCTAGAAAACTTTACAAGCCCTTATTTAGAAATCAATTTGTGAAATAATGGCATCTTTATCTAGCAAGATAGTAGCAAAAATTAGCATACGAAGAAAGCGTTAATTATAATTTAAACTAACTTAAAAAGCGACTTTGTTTATGAAAATGAGGCGAATAAAAAGAATCAGACAATGAAGAGTTCTGTTCGAAACGCTTTAACGATATTTTTTATGTAAAATGTCGCTTTGTAAGTCGAATTATCAAGTTGCAAGCTTATCTCATTGGACGTGCACTGAACTGTATTGTTTATTTGCTAGAACGTTAGCTTGAATCCTTCAGTAGTGAACGCAAGCTTATCATAACATCAAAATACACTATAAATTATCATTTGAGATTATAGTCTTTAATTTATTTGAAAAAAATTCTATTCTTACGAGGAACTCTTACGTGTGCAAATAGTTCATTATTGTGGTGCCATGTTTCAAGCACGTCAAATAGGCAAATTTTCATCTCCAAACGTGGTTCTTGTCGTTGGAGAAATTTTTGACACAGAGAGTTCCGATTTTCTTTCTTCCTACAACCTTCATGATTCCAAGAATATTGATACAAATTCCAAGAATTTTTTAGTGGCTGAAACCATTGAAAATTAGTGGTTGTCCGCCGCCTTTTTTCCAGTTGTGCCAGAACAATCTACCTCCATTTTCCTAACTCTCAGGTCAGATGAGTGAGCACGCCTCTTGTTATCAACAAATGCAGTTAAGGTCAGCTGACCCCCTTCGAAGAGATGTAATGAAATTAGATTAGACATATGGGCTAAATCATTGAATTTAATTGTATTAAGACCCTTACGAATAACGAGATCACGAAAATATTCCAAAGAAGTAGATGATGAACTGTAGCAAAAATGGCAGGTTTCGGAAGAGATTTTCCAGAAAGCATTTTGGGAGGCATTATCAAAGAGCTTTTTGGTTTTGCAGGCTTCTGCTGACGTCGAACGAGTTTTCCAAAGTAAGCTCTCGTGGACTCAACGCCAGCATTTCACATAGAAAGGCAAGGGCCATGCCACTTTAACTTAGGTTCGAAAATGAATGGGTTGTATGTTAAACTACGTGTACATCGTTGTGTACTTAAACGGAGACCATGGTTTACTACTGATCCTTTTTTACATTAGTCCTTGTAACAAAAGTTCTAGTTGAAACGGGAAAGAGGACCCAAATGCTTGCAACGATCATAAACTTAAGTGGAACGGCCCAAAATGCTTGCACCGATCATAAACTTAGTTGAAAAGTCTGGAATGCTTGTAGCAACTATTAAATAGCCGGGAAGGCCCAAAGAATACTTACAGCCATCAAGCCTCTAATAACAAATGTAGAGATTTTTAACTTTTTTCATTTTCTCATTGTTTATAAATGATATTCCTCCAGCTATCTATAAGTTACATGAATGGAATGATTTTTTGAAAACTTTCATAATCTTTACAATCCAAACAAATTGCAAAAAACAAACTAATAATTTAAAGAAAAGCTGTGGCTGTTCTCTCAGTGAGCCGTGTTAGAGGTGCCAGCCCAAGATTTTCATAGTATGGTGGTCTCCAATTTTTATGGTTCCGCTTGATGAGTCAAAAGCAGTGTCGTTAGCTGTGTAACTTGTGGCACATCACTGTCAAAACTGTTGTTGCTACATGCTTAACGTTTGTCTTCTGTTATCCCACCTGCACGTTGCAAGCCAGTTACAGAAAGTCTTATCTTTATTTGCATCCCCCTTTTGTTAGTTATCTCGTTGGAGGTTTTTATTATTTCTAGGCCAGCTGCAGCTTGCATTTCCTTGGTGTTTCATATCTCAGTTTAAACAAACCAATTGTTTCCATATGTGTTTCTGTAGAGATCACAGTTTTACTGTTTGAAAGTCTACTTGCATAGAACGTTTATTAAATTCAGCTCTGCACGCGGATGATATGAAACAGCTCCTGGTTATTGCTTGCTTTGGTAAATAATGCTAGAAGAAGTCTTTCGTGCAAAAACAACGCGTCACCTGGTTTTTTATTTGAATGAAAAAGCAAGCCTCGTGTTCTTATGTCCACACAAAGCGTAACACTTTTGTTGTCATGACTTGGCAGGGAGCTTATTCCAGCATTTGCTGCTTAAAATACTAAGGTATGCCATACCTGTTATCGAAAATACATCAAAGCACATTCGTCACAGTGCAAGTTTTATTTGAGTTTGGAATTCGACCCTGCGCAATAGGATAAGCGTGAAGTTCCTCGTTTAGCGATTTCTTTTTGCAATTAGAAATACCGTGTCTACACATAAAATCATAACTTGAAATCTTCTTTAAGCATATTTTCATTGTCTTGTTCTTACTTGTTACGGTAGTTTGCCAATTGAGTTGCCAAACAATTCAATTTTTCAGTCTTGTATTTTCTTTCTCTTGGCTTAAATCAAGTGAAACATACAAGCAGCTCACAAGTCTGTCTTAAAGAAATTCAATTCAGTGTTAGTTCATTTTGGAAACCTTTTTGTATTGTTAGATATGGTAGAGCATTGGTTGCTGGAACTTTGGTTCCTCTCAGATTCGATGCACCATTCCATTAAGTGCCTTAAGGAGCTTTATCATTCGTGGCCCAGCATAGGGCACGAAAATCGATTATAATTTGAAAAACGAATGGGGAGAGAGGGGGTTGTTTCGTAGGAGCTATTGCATCGGTACTCTTCCTTTAATTTTTGTATCATTAGAAATGGTCTGAGATGAATAAGCTTAGAATACTTATACGTAAATAACTGAATCAAGGACGTACACCGTTTGCTTTCATGGCATTTACTGCTTACCATTTTGTTGACTTTGTCTTTGTGATAAGAGCGATTTAGATCTGACAAACAAAGCTCAACATCTTGGATCAAGGACATGCACCACGTGACCAGAAGCTCACGCGGAGAAAGGATGAAATGATTGTGCTGGAAGGCTTAATTTATCATAGTAAAGAAAAACGATTAAATTTGGGAATAAGAATCCGCGCATAACAAAGAAGGGGGATTGGCCTAATCTTGTCTCATTTGATGAAGGTATGACCCAGTGACCTCGGTTTCGTTAAAGACAAGTGATTCAAATTCCGGACTGTCAGATTGACCGAACCGATAGATCCCTATCTGGGAGATGTTTATATCTATAACTGTTCGTAAGCCACCCAAGCATTTTCAAAAATTTGGGTACGCGTACGTTTTTATAAACGTGTGATGTTTTCAAATAATTGTAGACTGCCATGGAGCTGGAACGCTTCTGAATATGGACCTGCAGATGCAGGAGGCATTTCAATTGCGTTGAATTTAATTGTTAGTAACGAGTTTTTATTTCTAATCAAACATTTGAAGTGTGGTTTGCAAGCTGCAGACCACAATCGCAGGTTTATCTATAGCGTTTAACCACTTCAAGCTAATTCCCTGATACCATGAATCTCATTACGCAGGAAATTTTGATTCTTTCCAAGGCCATGTCAACAAATTATTTTAAAATTTCATAATAAAGATCAAAGTAGCCTACGATTCGGACGTCATTGAAGAAGCAAGAACGTCAGGATCCGTAGGTATTGTAGTCCGTATTTTACCATCCACATGAAAAGCTAGTGCATTGATCATTGGCAAATATTATTCAAAGCCCCGGAAAGTCGGTTCCAGTGTGCAAAGAAAGGAATCTAAGACTTTGATTACATCGTGTTTCGTGTAAGGAAAGGTTCATTGTTTGACGTGAGTGTTCAAAATGATTACCGACAAACAGAAAGGCTATACATGATCAATATTAGCGCGCGGAGTATAGCAAGCAGAACTAAAGGAAATTTGTTTAGTTGACTCAATTTGAACAGACGCTCTGACGAAGAAATCGCACTGGAAACGGCAAAGAGTGTGTTTTTTCGCTTCATTTCAATTGTGGTGTTCCGTACTAAGCAGGTATATAACCTAACGATTTCGTGAAAAGAAAGCATTTTTACATTGTCAGTACTAACTCTGAATGGCAGTGTTTTAAGTGAGATTCCTTTGATAGTTTTGCAATGGCAAGCGCATTGAGGCTAAATGTATTTGATCCTAGTTGATATGCTTGTCAATTCTTGTTGTAGCCTTTAATCGAACTTTTTCATGCCATCCTTGATAATGTTGGCGTCATAAGAAGCAAAGGGCACGCTTCATGTTGGTTAGAAATACCGGTGGCCCTCGATTAAGCGTAGAATCAGCCATGATATGTTACAAGCTTCTGTTGATTGTATTTTCAGGGATATTTTTGCGATTATCTTCATCTGCTTTGTTTTTTCTTCGTAACACCTCACTCGCTAAACCGTTATACGATTGTCCTCTTTGTTCGGCCATTATGAAGCCCTTGTTGCACCACCTTATTTTGACACCTTGGTCTTCGCTTTACACAACATTAGTGTTTAAAGATCCATCACCTCGTCGTAAACCAAAGCGCTAATTATCTACTATGTGCTATTTTTATCCATTTCCCGTGCCTTTGTACCAACTGAAGACCAGTCCCGGCACCACTAAACTTTCCAGGCAAGACTATAAAATGCAGTCGCTGTTAACCAAGTTATCTAAATCCGTATTTTGTGCCGCTTGTTTTGCTTTTTCCAGGTCGGCTTTCAGTCTCTCATGAACCTTTTTTTATCAAGATTGATAAAGAGGAACGAGCTGAATGTAATATGATTATCCGCAACCATAAAGAAAATTTTTGTTTATTGGTTTTAATTTCCCCAGTATTCTTCGACCAGTAAAATGCAGTTATGATAATTGATACAATAATTATTCTTAAATGTTCTTTATTTTCACTCAGCACCGATGAAATGGTGTTGAATTTTGCCCAAATTGGGTTAATACATTGACCTCAGTATTTCGGGAAGAACGCTGATAAAACTATGCATTTGTCACCAAACATTAAATGCATCTTTTAACATGGCACTGATATATGGTTCAGTAATACATCTAATAGATTTTCTTAACTGCCCTTTGAACTAGCGAGACTGCCTTGGGTTCTAACGAGAACATTGCTCTACACACAGTTAGAAGGTGCAAGATACGGATTAGTGCTTCTGATTTCTAAAAATATTTGGAAAGAAAGCAGTTCAAGTAAAAGTAATGTGAAGAATGCCTGAGAAAAGAATCATGAAAACTTGTCAGCTGACTGTCGTATTTTCTAAGACCGCATAAATATACCGGTAAAATTTTTCTTGTATAAGAGTTTGGCTAATTCAAGAAAGTGTTTGAGCTTTTGCACCTGAACCCGTCAAGCTTGGGTATTTTCTCTTGTGTCTGCTGCTCTAGCAATTCACGAAACGTCCATGTCATACCTGGCAATTTATGAACCTGGGTTTTTCGTTTATCAGTGATTTATTTATGACGGTTTATAAAGATGATTTTGATCGTTGATTGTTGTAACTTTTATGATGATGTCAGCTGAGTTTTGTGACGGCTCTGAGCCTTTTTCTAAATTTTTTTAAAAATTTAGGTGCTAGAAGCCACGTCTATTTAGAGCTGCGTTCAAGCGACATCTTTTATAATAAAATCTTTCTAACGTTTGCTTCTATCTATTTCAGTGACCAAGCGGAAATTGCAGCGAACGCCACCATAATCTTCGTCTGCCCGAGTTTAGATGGTCAACCACTAGCTGACCCCATGGCTACCAGTAAACGGGCAGTTTATCTGGCCTGGCTTTTTACAAGTTTTGCTTGTTTTGTTTACTGTGCTTGTAAGTTGTTAGATTACTTGCTTCTTTCATCATATGATGCTCTTGTTATTTCATTCTCCACCCAACAGTGCTACTTTGAAAGTTATGCTTTCTTCTGTTGCGCCCAGGTTTTCTTTACCAATGAAATGCGTGGGGGAAAAGTGAATGGAGGCTGAAAAATATGCATTGCAATTTCAATTGAAAAGTTTATGAAAAGTTAATAGTTAAATTTCTGACTTTTTTAATAGTTGTAACTATTGGAATTTATAGAGTTTTCTGTTAAGAGAATCTAGAAGCACTCCCTGACCCTTTGTGTGAAAGATTAGCATCTTTAAAAAGATAACAATGTGCTAAATATGTATTAGAAAAGCTTTCAATTCCCGTTTTCAGCTTATTGAATTTTTATTAAACCATCAACCCTTAAAATGGTATTAGCTGATTTCATGTGTGCTAAGTCCTATTATCTTTGACCTACTTAAAAACGCAGAGTGACTGTCCAATACCGGGAAGGGGCTTCCACAGGAAACTGGGGGAGGGGGTCGTTGCTGTTCAGTAGAGGATCACTGCCCTATAGATAATGAATGATAAGTGGTTTTTACCGTTTTCATTCTTTTATTTCTCCATTGAAATGACTCATATCTTAAAAATTTAACTTTAACAAACAACATTCATGTGAAACGCCCCAAATATAAAGTAGAGTGTGGCAAATTTAAATTAGGCTGGGACCCACAATCCGAGAAAACTTGCAACCATCCTCCTGGCAAGGACTTTTGTTTAATGGATTCTGACGTCATTTACTCATGGAAAATTATTGTATTAAGGGTGTGGTATAGATAATCCTTTTGTTTCGATAGATTCTCTTCATGGTTAGTCGACATGTCATCACAATATTTTTTGGACAAGATCTGTTTGCTTTGGTACGAACATCTTTTCATGTTCCCGGAACCCATAGAAATTTGCTTTGTCTAGTAGAAGCATTGAAAAGTTTCATCATAAACCAACGCCCCCCTTGCACACCGATAAACCCTCACTGACTATACCCACAAAGTTTATGGTCTACGCCTGCGTCTTTGTTAAATATTACTGTAGACAAAATCACTTTATCGTTAATTAGACATCTTTATACCTTGTTTTCACATCAACGTCAAAAATGAAGCAGGCCAGTGGACTAGGCCACGACAAGCCATGTTTGGCTGTAATTGGATCTATGAACCTAGGCCTTTGTAAACCGATTCTTAAGTATGTCGTTTCGTTAGCCTTATAATTTCTATGTCGTCTGCAGTTTGATCGGCAGTCAGATTCAGTTTATAGATCGAGTTTCCTAGCTTCTACCAAAGCTGGCGATGTTTGCTAAGTTGTTGCCGGTGGTGCTTTAACTGTCGTCTCTGCTGTTATTCTCTTTAGAAAAGCCCAAATGTCCCTTATCTTTATTGGCACCGCCAGTAAAAACATGTTGTTTTCGTACTGTGTTTGTTTTTACTTTAATGTAAAGCTGTTTTGAATACCTTCGTTGCCAGGAAGACCAAAATGTCAATCAGGAATTACGTTTACAATTCCCTTATTGCTATTAAAAACTCTTTGGTTTACCGTCTTTCAAGCTGGCTCCTGTTGGACTTCTTGTAAAGCCCTTGAAAGATCCAGGACAAGAGACTGTCCTCGTATCTTTTATTATGGTAGTGGAACGGGTTGTCTGACTTGATCGCCTCCGTTAAAAACATGGCTGCTATGTTTCATAGAGCCTCGTCTCGAAATTCTGCATTCTACTTTGTTTTATACGGTCAATAGTTTATTTTTTTGCAAAAATATAAACTTTTACTTCATGTTATTACTCTTTGTTGTTATAAAGAGGGTATCTTTTAAATTTGCCGATTTGTCTTACACTTTCGGGAATAAACCGTTTGTTTATAGCGTTATGCAGCTAGGAAAATATCGGATTATCGTTAAAACAAGGAGGTCCAACAAAATGTTTCAAACAGCTAAAATATTGGATATTTATTTTTACAAATGTGTTTAATCGAATGAAATTGGTTTATTGTTGAGTGATAATCCTATTTGAAACACCTAAGCACGTTGAGGACCGTCAGGTGAAAACATTGGAACAGATGAACAGTTGTGGCGAGCTTGTGGCAAGAGATCTTATCAATCTCCCATGCTGACGTCCATTGTTCTCTTGTCATTTTGAAGGAGTATTATCCGCTAAGAAATGATTTGTTAGGCCTGTTATCCTCCAAGGTCCTCTTATTTAGCTTATCACAGGATATCACTTCCATGCTGCTTGTTACCTACAGCCTCGCTTTCCGTTTTTCTTTTATCTAGTTGAGGCTTTTCAAGAAAGCCTTCTTGCCGTGCCACAAAAAAGTGTCCTCTTATAATTGTTTCTGCACCAAGAGATGCGACGACTTCTATCTGTTTTTATCTTTTTCATTATTCCTTACAACTTTGTGTTGTGCTGAAGTGTTCCTTGGCTCTCTGAATTTTGAGCAAAAGTCCACTCGTTGCATATCAGCTGTGAATGAGTCGTGTCCATTTCCCTGTTGCCCCCTCCCCCCGCCCCAGATTTTGTGATTTCACAACTGAGAAATTCAAAAAAGGACTCTAAAGATTCGATAACGTGGTCACAAAAAGCGAAAACCCCACTACCCACCCCTAAACCCAAAAATAAACTCCTATCCACCCATATACCCAAAAGCAAATCGCTACACACCCGGCCGCTCAAAATTTAATCTAATCTTTCACTCTCTTGAAATAGGCGACCTGCTATTTCTTAATCCTCGTGTACACTTTTGCAATGCTGTACTGAAGTGATCTATCCCATGAAGCAGCACTCATAGTCGTTTCCCCGTGGCTAACATCCAAGCAACAAGATGTTGGTTGTTACACGGAAACTCGTGGAATATCTTTTGTAACCAGCTTAATCTCAAATGATATGTTTAAGAATCCCTAATCGCGTATCGGAAACGATAATCTTAAATAGGTTGCTCTTGAATCTTGTTAGTTTAAAGGCAGGACTTGTCACGATAAATTGATTTCGTTTCACAATGACATCCTTCATTTGTTTGCATCGCGACTGAGCCAGATTCTTCTTCAATTAAGTATTTTATTTCTTCAACCATAAGACATTGACTTTGTAAAATCTTGTACATTTCCCAACTGTGCTTGTCATTAGTCTTCGTATTAACTTGCTTAGTTACCTAACAGCGAAATCACCTCAAGCTTTTCATTGTCTTTTCTCAAATGCCTCCTTCAAAATCGTTACATTTCATTGTGCCTAAAGCCTTTAGCTAGCCTTAATCCTTTTTTCCACCATGACAACTTAAATAATGTGGCTTTTCTATACGACATGTATAGGAGACTTCAACGTCAGTTTTCCCTCATTTTCAGCACGTTCTATCAACCCAAATGAGGGTAGCCTCTTCTTCATATAATTGACCATTTTTAGCAACTTTGTTTGTAAGGGCGTGTACGAGACTAAAGTCAAACATTGCTCTATAAATACTGTCAAAGTAAAACATTTGTGGAGGAAAGTCGTTGTGCGTTGCCTTTAGTGATTACTAAAGTTTGCAGGTCGCAACCACTTGAATTGGCTTGCTTGAGCTCTGTGCAGTTCTGACTTTTGATCACCTCAACCAAAAGTAAACAAGGGTTATGATAAGCGGAGACATGATTTTTCAAATTGATTAAAACTGAGCCTTGTGTACTCTTTGGATCTATGACGTTCAAAGAGCAGAAAACCTGGATGCTTGCTTTTACTCTGAACTGAAAATAAGGATTGGTTTCCCTATTATGTGTCTAGTCTTCTTAGCTAATAACTAAGCCACATAATCTCCGTGTTTATTTTGCGTAATTCCAAGATTCGCCTTTCGCCCAATCAGCTATACAAATTATCCTTTCAGGTATCATCTTCCCTTTATGTCCAACAAATCGTTGGAATTCATAATGGCTCCAAAGCCTCCTTTTTTTGACACACGTTTGACATGGAATTTTAATTAAAGGATAACAACATCTTCTAGTACATGATTTTCCGAGCTGATTGATGGCCTTGCAATGATATTGAGACGTTTGATGATTGCTTTCAATTTATGTGTTGCCGTTCCATTAAATTTCCTTCTGCATATGTCATAAAATCGAAACGCCTTTCTGGCCAAGGATCAAGGCCAATAGCCAGTATAACGCCCACATCTCCTTTATGATCGTTTGTGTCTCTTATTACAAAATCTAGGATTATATTTGACGCATTGCAGCTGATGGCTCTAGCTTGTGATCGCTTTGTTGAAACCTTGTGAATCCGGATCTAAGGGTTTTCCCCATTTAGGCTTGTTATAGAGTAACAAAAAGTACTTGTCACATTAACCAAACTCTTACATTAAAATTCATGCTTGTGTTCTTCAGGTGCACTGAATCTCTCGATTTTTCAAGTATATAACTATGACAGTTTATCGATTATTATTTTTTCAAAGTATTGAAAAAAAGTATTGTTGTTTGGGTGACGAAAAAAAACTGGATGTTAGCTAAATTAATTTCTTTCGTGAAGTTTGCGTTAAAAACTTCCATTGTTCATTTTTTCATACATTGTAGTAGCTGCAGCTCACTGGCTCTGCTGCCCCTGTCACTAACTCCCATTACCGCCATATACCTGTGTTTTCACCAACTGCCTCTGCAGAGACACGGTTGTATAAGATGCCTAGGGCATTGCATGGATCATTTTCAGTGATGGCGTATTTCATAACAGATAGCTTTCATATCTGGTTCACCATTGCTTGCTCTACCACTAAGCTCATCTCCTCTTCTTGTTGTAGCTGTTCTGCTCCTCTGTAACTTTGCCTGATATAAATAAAAATACGATTCGTTTAAGAACCTCTTATGTTCGTTATCAATCAAGATTTTATTCCCTTCACCCTGTCGTACGTTTAAATCAGACGACGTTAATGCAAAACGATAAGCAAAATTGCTTGCGGACAAGCAATGCTGCGACCGGTAAATTTAAATTCGGGCTGACTGTTCAATTTTTTCGAAAATCTGAGGCTAGATTGTTCTTAATTTGTTCTTAAATAATAGGGTGTAAGCAGTGCGAGTGCTAGCTTTGTCGCTCTAGGGAGGTGTTCAGGCCTCATTTGCCAACAAAGTGTGGGAGACAGCCTTAATTTGCCCCAAGGCCCTAGACGCACTGATTTCTGACCTAAAACTCTTTATCTTTGTCAAAGTGGAAAATCGAGAATACTTTTTCAAGTTTGACAAAGATCATCCGAAAAAGCACCCAAACATGGCTGAAAATCCTCGTTTATGAAATAAACGTTGTTCAAAATTGCATTTTACAGTAGCTCTGCATCAGCTTGTTCTTGATTTGGTCTTAATTTTTGACCAATTTCGAGGCTTTTGTTCTTATAAAATTGTTCTTATACAAATAAGACTGTATAATGCATACAATTTTTGAGTCAACTAATCATAAGAACCACTTAAGAAAAACAACCCGGATCAGCGCTTTTGCTTGACTTTGCTCAGTTGAACCATGATTTCTTAAATTCAGTATTAAACAGGCCAAAATTAGTTTATCTAAACTACCATGAATTTTAAACACACAAATAATGCTGAAAACAAAACCGATCTAAAAACCAGTCTCACAGGAAGAAGACTTGTGTCTTATCGCTAATTCGAAACAAAAATCGATCTGTTTTAAAGATTTGCTACGTCATCTAAAGTTTAAATGGAAACATTGTGATCATGTTGGTTTACCACAGGAAATTTGTCATTCACCGTTGAAAAAAGAAGGAATTAAATAAAGATGAGCAGAACAGCCTAAGGAGTTCGTTCTGTTTTGCAGTTTAAAGTGTGGAAACCTCAGATGGTTTTATCATTGTGTTTCTTTGCTTAGAGTTACTATCTGAAGGCGAACGGGAGAAGGTCTTTTAATAAGTGAAACAACCCTCCGCCCTGGAGTCAAAGAGCATGCGCGTGGATTTTTGCGCACGCCCTTTAACTCTAGGACGGAGGGTTGCCTCACACACTTTAAGATTTTCACCTAATTACCAATTAGGTGTATGCTGCTTAAATAAAGCTGTATCAGCAGGGTAACTGCATTTGAAGCTAGCCTTAAGCTATCATATCACATGTGAGCCACCCGCACCCTTCCCCTGCGGAGACGCTTCTCCATGGAGCCTGCCTCGACCTTTACGGTGAAACTCGTAGCTGATGGCAAAGGCCGTGAAATAAGATTTTCTGCTAACCCAAACGGATGTGATTACTCCGTTTATCTTTAAACTAAATAGAAACTAATGTCATAGGATGATTTGTAGCTTTTTCATTGATATTTTGTCCTACACGGATTTGCGGCCTGAATCAATTTGGCCACATCCTGTTTTCTTGTGTTAATCTGCCAGGAAGAGGGAAATGCCGCGTTATCGTTTTATGAATAGTAAATTTAACTAACTCTGTCCTTGTCTACAGATCCTCCGAAGATCATGTATAGTGGTTCATTGCAGTATGAGCGGAAAGTTGGAGAGGACGTTAAGCTACGTTGCCAGGCAACTGGTGCACAAGATGATTCAAACAATAGGACTTTGTTCTTCTGGAAGAACCAGTTTGGGCTCATTAGGCAAGACAAGAGTAGATGGCCTCGTTATGAAATCAAGCAGAACAAATATTTAAAAATATCGAACATACAGCCGGAGGATGCAGGTGTTTACACGTGTACTGCTGCTAATGAATTTGGCTCTGATGACGCAAATAGAACATTAAGAGTTTTTAAGGATGGCAAAGAAGTCAAAGCGGTTAAACCTTCACAGTGGCAACGCCCTGGTAAGCTATTTTTACTAGTATTAGCTTTTTGCTACTCTTGGGAAAGGCTTTTTCAAAATTATAACTGTCATACAGATACACTTTCTCTTCTTTACAAGAACGCTTGATTTGCTAAGAAACTAAGAACAACGTAATTGCATGCTTAGCGTCAGATATAAAGGTATAAGGAAAGATAATGTGTTTAATATTTCCTTTCATGTTGGCAAATTAGAGTAGATGATCAGTTTATCAACCGTGCTTCTAAAAATTTAATGCAAGACTGTTCTTTAGTTGTCATAGAAACAATGAATAGTATGCAGTTGCGTAAAATGCTAACATGTGAACAAAATAGGAACAGGCATCGAGCCTCAGCCGAAATTATCTGGATCTTATAAACAGAAAAGAGCGTAACTGATTGTGGTTAAGCCCCATAATTATATTGACTGATAAATATGTCACTGCAAGTAGCTCTTGTAGGCACCTCGCCGACGGTACACCGAATGTCAACAAACAGCAATATCTTTTTTCGGCCTATGTTTATAGGATCCAGTGTTCCAAGACTTTTGGCAGGCATTGTATGTTCATAGGTCCTTCTGCTAACGTACTTTTTTTAACAACCTATATCTAGTTACCCGTTATAATTTTAAAAGGAATTCTAAATGATTTTCAATACCTTAGGTTTAAAGATTTATTTTTTCTTTGTAGTACGAAAGCGCCCGATGCTACCTGGAATCGATCTTGTAAAAGGTAATATTCAAAGTCCCATATGTTGATATTTTGCACATTATACATGTTGATCTTATAAGGTGTTAGTTGACAGACTGACAAATATGCGTGTGTCGTTTGGTTGATTAAGGTTTTGGAAAATGACATGTTTATTTGAGTTACACGAGTTTGCATATCAAACAAGTTTTGTGTGACGTAAAATAACAGAACTGAAAGCCATTCTCCGCCCTCATTTAATTTCAACTCTTCTAAAACGGTTTGAATATGGGCAATTCTTACCGGACGAAATTCAGAAATTTCCGAAAGGATGATGCTTTGTTGAGCATTTGCCCCCTGCCCTCTTTCACGAAACCCTAGCTATAACACTGCTACAATCAGTACCAAGCCCAAGGCCAAGAGAAACATTATGGGGGGGGGGGGCTAAAGCCACAAACTGTAAAAAGTATATGACTCAACAATATTGTTTCTTTGCATGCCCCCTCCCCCTCCTCACCTCAGGCCTGATTTAGTAATTGCGCATCACAAACTGGTTCGATTTTCTTACGGTTTTTAATTTCTATCTTTTAGTAACGGAATTGGCTCCTAGGATATTAATCCGAAAGAAATCGAGTCCGCGGCGCGTCCACATGGTGGGCGAAAGCACAAAACTGAAATGTTTAGTTAACGATGCCGATCCCCCACCTATTATTTCATGGACAAAAGATAATAAATCATTGCAAATGGGTAAAAATATGAGATATGCTCATAAACATAAAATTCTTCACTTCAAATTGCTTTCGATGAATGACAGCGGCAATTATACTTGCATTGTTGCAAATAAATTAGGAGAAGATAGCTATACTTTCCAATTGGTTGTAAAGGAATATATTATGAGGAAGTTACCCAAGTTAGATGCTATCCAGCGCATACAGGCCGCTGTTAGTGGAAATTTCACAATCACGTGTAGAACATCGGCTAAACGGAAGCGTGGTATGCCTCGTATTCGCTGGATGAAATACAGTGTCACGCCTGAAGCAGGAACATGCAAACTTTCGAGGACGTTTAAAGCGCCAGTCGAGCCGTTTAATTTATTGAATGCAAAGAAAAGCAAGAAAAACACAAGGATGAAATGGAGGTTTGATTACAATAAAAATGGAAGCATTTTAGTGTCACTGACGTTCTTGAATGTGACTTATCGTGATGCAGGCTATTACGAGTGCAGAAGCAGTAGTTCAAGGTCAGCTAAGATTATTGACAGTGTTGTTGTCGTTGTAAAAAAGAAAGGCATGATCGAAGATACCCAGAACGATGACACAAGAACTCAAGCTAATGGTAAGTTTATGCTTATTTTCTTATTACGCAAGGGAAACGACCACACAGAATTCTGCTCTCCAATGAGACAGCCCCCGTCCTTATTGTCAAGAATTGTGCATTTCGAAACCAACCATTGTTGTTTATGCTTTTGACAGTACAGAAGGCGAGGTTGCTTCAGAGAAAACATCGGTCAGCTTTAAATAACATCCCTGAACCCTACCAGGTCTTAAATAGCATCCCTCACACGTGGGTGAATCTTTGACGTTCTGAGTCGTTGCCTGATAATTCAAACTCTCAAGGAAAAGAAAATCGAATAATCGGACGTTCATATTTGATTTGGCCTATGATCATGGATGATTTGGCCTAAGCATGGTTCCTAGTAAGTTTCAAAAAATTGATTGTTGGCTAGTTTCGGTAAGAGACCTGCGTAAAACTTGTGATCAAGTTTAGAATTTGTTCATTTTGCAAGTGGAACAGCATTTTTTCAATATAATGTAAAGACTCAGAAAATAATCATCTTGCGTAAGGTAATATAAACCAGTTGCCAGGCTGTATTTCATCTCTTTTGCCAATAAAATACTTGTCAATACCGGTGAAAGACACACGCGAATTTCCCTAACACTCTGTAAATGTCTCAAAGTCATCGTGTATGGTTTGCTTAGAACATTGCACTTCTTTTTTATATTGTTTGTAGATATCTCGACTGGGGTTAAGAAATAATCTTGTTTAAAATACTGGATTAAATATTTTGGTTTTTTTTAATCTGTTATTGGACTGCGCTAGAATATATACAGGCGATGTTGTACCGCCAACACTTCAGAATGTTGTTATCATAAACCGTGGACTATTTCATGACATTACATTCCCTAGTCCAAGATCTTGTTTTCAAAATTTTGCATAAGTAGTTGATTTGTTTTCGCCATAGAAGGTATATTTTCCTTTTGGGACATTGTCCTGGTGACAAAAATGTCTCCCAACGTCTGACCCACATGAGCCCATCAATATGAACAGAAAGAATTGGAAGTATTCGAGATCATTGTGCAAGGACGGGAGGATGGGCTTGTCGCTTGAAGGCTGTCTTGTGAACTTGTCACCGCAACACTAAGCTCGTATTCCACTGTACAGTTCTGAATAAAAAATAACGAACAAACCAGACGCAATAATGTTTGTGCAGTCATTCCAAATGCTGCCTTTAATCATCCAGCCTTTTATACTAGCCTAGACCGAGACTTCTTTATAATACTAACTAGGGGGGGGGGGGGCAGTTGCCTACCCAGCCTTAGTGACCTTCCATTGATTACAACAATAGGTTATTGTCCTCCTCTTTATAGAAGCTAAGGTTGACCCCCAGCTGATTTCACTTGAAAGGCTTTGCGTAGATGCTCTGTTTATCACTATTTTATTCCTTGTGTTTAATTTTTTTCAGGCAAACATAAAGGCAGTGGGGATAACCGTGAAGAGGGAATTCCCTTGTTTTTGTTGATAACTGTGCCAACAGTAGCTGGTGTTATTTGTATAACTGTTGTGCTAATATTCTGGAGAATGCACAAGAAGGTGAGTTTGAATTTTACGATTCTCTCAGTCGTATACTTTTTCTTAAAGTAATCCACTACCTTATTCAAAACTTTGTTCAATCGGTGTGTAATTATGTAGACGACCATTAAGCCGTTGTAATTACTGGTAACCAATCAAAAAGCATTGATATCAGTCACTCATGACTCATGATTAGGTTGTGGTCCGTACACTGATGATTCCCATTCAAAAATGCTTTTTGAAGATATTTCTAAATTGTACGCTTTGATCTAAGTTTAAAGAGCAGAATTCAAGTAGCCCGTGTACAGCGTTATATAGGTACAGAAATACCTCTTAATAGCAGACACTCCTGTAGACAGGGGTGTTCTCTAATGTAAAAAGCGTCCGCTATTCAGGGGCGATGAAACGAACACTGAGTACAAGTCCAGAACCAGAGAAAAACAAACGAGTTTAGATAGTAAGATTCATCGAAAATGTAGAAGCCATAGGATTGAAATCTAAAGTTGTCATTTTTCTGTCGGAGATATACCATAGATCCTTGCTAGAATTAGTGACACGAAAAGATGATTCAGTGCTCAATTTATGGACTATTTGTTGTTATATATTAACTAATCATTTCTACTTCTGTTAGATGTATTCTTTTAAGCATCTATGTACATTATTTTCAGAAAGAAAAAATGGCGAAGCGTAGTCGGCCAGACGTTTTGAAAGTTTCACATCTAGAAGAACAACAGCCTCTGAGAAACGGACATATCACGAAGCCCACTCAGAATGGATTTCATTGCCATAATGGAACTTTATCCCAAAATGGTATTTGCAGTCAGAATGGCACGCTTTCACATAATGGGACTTTAAGCCATAATGGTACAGTTTCGCATAATGGAAATGTGTCTTGTAATGGCAGTTTGAACTCACTTCGGCACGGAGTACATAAAACGCGGAATGGCTCTGCGCAGACTATAGTGCATCACGATCCCGTGTTTGGTACAAAGTTAGAATGTATAAAAAAAGACGATTCAAGCTCGGAAATCACTTAGTCAATTGTCTAAAAAAGTAGGAATATCATATTTATGTTAGACCATATGAAAAAATGTCTGGAAGAAGATTGGATCTCCTTCGAATCAACAGATGAAACAGGCGTTCATTGTCAGCGAGCTGTCAGCGAGAAAATGGATTAGAATTCATTGTACTTCATCGTTGCAGTATCCAACGGTTTTCTTCAAAATGGCACGCCAACGGAAATGATTAAAGCTGTATTGTCGTTTACGATTTCAAATGTAGCGTTGATCGTACAGCACTTGCGAGCCTACGTTTTTAGATAATCTGTCGATACAAGACAGTTCGGAAACTTTTATTTTAAAGCTATATTCGCAAACGAATAAAGGTTCCATAGAACAAAGAGGCATATGGTCGAGTTTTTTATCGAAATATATAAGGTAATGGAAAAATGAATAAACAGAGGTTCTAGCGCCCTAAGTGTGATCAAAGCATTTTTTCCATCTATTAAAGGATTTTCGGCGACAAATTTCGAAAGATAAAATTCCACCACTTCCCTAGTAGAATAAACTCATCTGTCACTTCTGAGATGATTTTTTGTGCTATATCGAATTGTGCAATTTGGTATATTTTTATTTCCCACCTGTAAATAAAGGGTGTAAATATTTATTAAAATTAAGATGAAAAGGTTATTGTACAAATTTAATATGTAAAGAATTAAGATAAAACGAGTTTGTTTTTGCCTGTGAACTCTGGCTTACTTTTTTGGTGTATAACAAACTAAGGACATCAAAATGTTTTTATACATTCTTTCGGTCATTTTTTATGAAAGAAAAGTTCGTGTTTATAACTTTTAGAAAAGCAGTTTGACTTATCTCAGAAAGTGCAACAATAGATTTATTGAACACGATTTTAATAAACTAAGAACACGTTGAAATACAATCTTAATTCTAACACAGTTCATTTTCAACAGTTTTGCTAGGGCTTCGGTCCTGATCGTCTGGGAAGAAGAGACTGTTGCGTGGCTGCGCAGCCAGGAACTTCCTGATATGTTCCATAATGTAATGCGATTATAGAATAGCAGCAAGAGGTTGAGAAAAGGTTTGCTTAAATTAGGATTATTTACATTTAGTCCACTCAACTGAAGAATCAAATGATATAAAATGGGTGATTAAAAACTACGCAAATAAAAGGATTGCAATTTTAAAGACAGAAATAACGTTCTATTTCAAAATATCTAAATAAAATTTTTTCTTTAGAAACTTGATGTTATCTTAGTATTGTTTCGAATTAAGCTAGTTAGTATGTTTTCAGATTCAGCTAAAAGAGATTCGCAACCAAGGCCATCCCCTCCATCTCGTAAAAACACTATCTACCTAAGTTGCGATGTTGGATATTTTTCTTGGAATGCGAAGGGTGAAACCCAGCAAAATAAATCTTTGCTAATCTTTCGTATTAGTCGGTCTAGGTGTGATCTGGTCACCAATGCAAAATGGCGATATCATGCACTGAGAGAAAAAACCAAGGACGTGCTGTCATTGCACCATGCTGATGCGATGCTGCACCTTATCAAAGTGTTTATCTCACGGGACGGCATTTCTCGTACTTACGATTGTTGGTTATTTATAGACAATGTGATAAACCACCTCCCGGGTTCTAACGTCTCATCTTTAAACTGATACAAGATATTTCATGTTTTTATTACTGAATACAGAAATTTACTTGATTACTGAATTTATGGTCTAATTTCAATCCGCTAATACAGTCATCAGCGATAAATTATGAACACTAAAATTAAACACTAAACGTTATTTTTACTTCTTGACAAACATAGCCAGGAATGATTCCTTTCTTAGCTCGCATTTACAGCCGACCTTTACTATCTCCTCGTATGGTTCCCAACCTTCGATAGCAGCGCCAAAGGCACCTCTATGACATCGGGCAGCACGCTTCAAGAATGTTAGTTTAATCGTCTGGTCCACGCAGCTGCCTTGTCCCTGCAAGCATGATCCTCCACCACATTTTGTCTCTATCACATATCGTGGAAACCTGTAAGATAAAAGACGTGGCTCTGATGTGGTTCTGTGTCATAATCACTTCACATCAACCATATCAGTCATAACAATCATGAAACATAAATCAGCATATCAACCTCACCAATCACACCATGAATCATACCTATCAAAAATATAAATCAACCATATTGTATAAATCAAGGTATTTCAATCGCATCAATCGTTTTGCATCATACATGTTACACCAATCACATCAGTTCAATCAAATTATTCAATCATCAATAACAGTATTTCAATGATATAAATCTTATCATATCGATCGTATGTCAATCATGGCAAATGAAACATATGAATCAATCGATTCAAATCTATTTATACTAAACGATCAAATCATGTAAGGATAAGTGTACATACCTGTCAGCAGGAAGAGTTCTGGTTTGAACACACGTTGTACACAGATTAATATTCCCATCGTAGGTAATATCTCCTTCCTGGACACAGCTCGGGCTCTTTTGAGCTTTGTTTGACCCCAACCTGTATAGGTATGATATGATGTCTTCGTTTCGTATCATCTGTTGCTTTTTAGCTTGGCCCATCAGGTTTGTGATACTGCGCTGACATGTCTTACTTATGAGTCTGTTAAAAGGACTTTTCTTTGTATTCCTGAAATGAGAGCTTGTTTTTTTTCTTTCCATCACAGTAACCATTTTTTTCATGTTTCTTTTAGCGGTCTCTTTGTCAAAAGCAACAAGCTGCTTATTGTATCCGCCATACTCTTTTAACATTTTTTCTAAATACTTGGGGCCAGCTCTTCTGCACCCAGAAGGCCTAAACGGATTCTCGATGACAGGCCGAAACGAATCCACTAATGACGTGCTCCATATGTATAGAAAGGTTACACCAATCACCTGAATGGCCAATGTCTTCATAACTCCTAGGAAAAAATGGCTGTGGTTTCGTAATTGTGGCCTGTTTCACGTTTGTCTAGAAGCAATGGATAATTTAAGGGACTTGGAAGTTATCTTTTAAAAAAATTTCTAAATTTTTGCCCGAATGTTATTACCCCAAAAAACTACCTACAATTTACTACTTATCGAGTCTTATTTACTGAATATTTTTCAGCAGCCAAATTTGGCTAGACAAACTCAACTTCCATTCTCAAAATGTTTCTAATGGCAAAATGGATTCTCAAACAAAATTCCAGCCATTCAGTTTTAGCAATAAATTTAGAACAGTAAAAACAGGAATGAAGAGAGAAACAGCTTATCCCTGTAGTGGATGACATGAGAGGGAACTATGATAACGGGCTATGCCCGAAACGTCGTAAATTATTTTAATAAATTTTTCCTGGTACAATTTACCTACATTGATCGTTATTTAAATTCATCATATTGTACCGCACGCATTTTAGTATAACTATGACAAGGCCGAGATTCGCATTATCAGATTTTTACGCAACACATGTAAGCGTGTCCTTGGCAGTCAAAGCGACGCTTGCAAGGACTATTCTATAAACGAATTTTACCTACGCTTTGAATGAATTTTACCTACGTTGGAGGATGCAACTGGGCCTAAAAAGGCCTAAGGGCAAACAAAAATCGAGTATCAAAATTCTACACAAAGAAACAAGGTTTTGAAGCTTCACGTCAACTATGAACATAACTGTGTCAACTTACTTTTTTCAGGGGCTTTGCTCTTTGGTTTGTTGATCCTACACGTCTTTCGAGGTCTGCTTGAAAAAAGCTCTTATTCGCAGATACAACAAGATCTTACTGCGAGCTGTGCAAGATCACAGTGCCTCAAATAACGGTACATCGGAATTGAAACATCATTCCTAAAAATAAAGCTGATTGCAGCCTTTCATCTCTCTGCTAGACACTTCCTTTGGTTAGACTCATTTCCTGAAACATCGCTCCTTGAGCTGAGCGTTTCCTCAGTATGATGTCACATCGCACCTCTCTTAAATCAAGGCAATTTTTTCTTCCTGTTTCTAAATACACTTTTTGCAAGAACAATTTTGTATGAACACGAGTCACAAAACTGTTCAAAATTTAAAAACAAATAAGGAACAAACTTATGCTGAGTAATATAAAATGTACAAAAATGTATCTTTCATGACAGTGCAAATGTTGTTAGTGAAACAATTACTAACCGAGCTATGTTTTTATCAGTAAAATATTGCCTCTTGTCTAAGTTTCTTTAACTTACACCCTAATAATTTCATGACAAACTAAGAACAATCCAGCCTCGACCTCAATTTATATTATTGGTTCTTATAAAAAAAAATGTAGAAAAATCATTTTAGGACAGGAACGTAACAGCAGGCAGAAACATTTCAAGCATTTTAAAGACAGCAAACTTTTGTCATAATCCAAAACAAAATGGTTACGAAGTTACCAGGAATGCTAAATTGTCACGAAGTTTACCAATGGATATTTACTATCTTTGGCTTTAGTATATAGAAATATTTGAGTTTGCAGTCATTGAAAACGCTCTAATTCCGGATTGATGGGACGTAAAATATTTATATGTATCCTGCAGGAACCAAGAAAACAGTTCGTAATAACGGGAGTTTGCTATACCGAAAGTTTGTAAAACAGGGAGTACACTCATTTTTTTAAAAGAAACAAAGGTCGATGTTGAGTACTCCAGTTTATTAATGTTCTGGAAATTTCAACACTCATTGTTTCCTAAGAGTTTCTTAAGATGTCGTAAATGATGTTATGAAATGTTTGTGACCTTTTTTATTATGTCAAGAGATTCGCTTCCATTCTGATGCTGTATTTAGATGTGGGAGGTTTATTTTTATCCCTTGTGTCTTAAGTTCCAGCCAGTTTCTTATAAAAAGTGAGTGTATTCCGAAAAAATTCGTTTAGTTCGTGATAGAGAGAAGATCGTTATAAGCAGGATTCCACTTGTACGCTTAGCACTCCGAAAAAAGTTTGACACCCTGCTCTTTCCAATCCATTTTTCTAATTTTTCAACATTTTGGTGCCAATATTTTACATATCTTTTATGGATATATGCAATTCACAAATCATTAAAAAGATATAACTCAACCATTTACTTTTGACAATTTCTGCAAGAATTAAAAAGGCTTGTTACATGATTTTATAAACAACAATAACATTACTATTGAAGGCTTGAACGGTAGCAGACTCCATCGAAACAGACAAGGGAACATACTTCTTGCGAGAAACATAATTAATCATCTGCAGCAAACATGACAAGTGAGTAACATAATGCACAGTTTAACCATGATTGAGCCTTCATTCCCTTATAGTCAAAAAGCTAATCATTCATTTATAACCCAAGGAGAACATGATGATGTAAATGAGGAAATTCAAATAAGCAGAGCTCTGTCGAAGTAATAGATAACGCTTTAAATGAAGTAACTAATTTCAGTTCAATAAGAGTAAAAAATCTTAAAAAGATAATTATAGGACACATTAACATAAATTCTATTCCTAATAAACTTTCTAGTATTATGGAAATCTTAAAAGGAAAATTAGATATTTTTCTTATCTCAGAAACAAAGATAGACGAATCCTTCCCAACATCTCAGTTTTCTGCTGAGGAGTTTAGGAAGCCCTTTAGATGTGACAGAAAAATTGGAGCTGGAGGATTACTACTTTATGTGAATGAAAATATTCCAGCTAAAGAATTAAGAAATATCAACCCAGCAAATGATATGGAAACTATTTCCGTTGAAGTTAAATTTAAAAAACAAAAAAGGATAATGATTGGAATCTATCACCCTCCAAACCAACATGACATCTATGTTCTTCATGAATTAGGTTAGTTATTGGATTTCTATTCACGAATTTATGAAAGAATTCTAATACTTGGGGACTTTAATATGGAACCTGGTTCTTCTAACATAGAAAATTTCATGGGAAACTATGATCTATATAATCTGATGAAAGTGCCAACATACTACAAAAGTAATCCACCAAAATGCTATGACTTGATCTTAACAAACAAGAAATACAGCTATATAAATACAGGTACATATGAGACAGGTTTGTCTGACCACCATAAGCTAACCTATACTGTACTAAAAATTGAATTCGTAAAATCTGAACCCACTTCTATTTCATACAGATGCTAAAAAACTTTTTCTACCGATTAATTTAACGAGGATCTTCAATTTAATATAGCTAGAATACCTAAAGAAAATGTATCGTACAATGTTTTCAATCAAACGCTAGATTTCTATTCTCGATAAACATGCCCCTCCGAAGAAAAAAATTATTGAGAGCAAATAATACTCCTTTCATGAATAAAAATATAAGAAAATTGATAATGCTGAGATCGAAGGCAAAAAGAGAGTGCAACAACAAAACCGCAACAGTCTCTAACCGGGAGCAGTACAAAACAGTCAGAAATAAATGTGTTAAATTAATAAGACGCACTGCAAGAAGGTATTTCGAAAATTTAGTTGTAAAATTCGTCAAGGATAATAAAAGATTCTGGAGAACTATCCAGCCTTTATTAAATGATAAAAATACAAAAGCAAATAAAATCACACTGATAGAGAACGATAAAATCCTGTCTGACAGCCAAATAGTAGCACAGACGTTGAATAATCACTTCGTAAATATTACTGAAAGCCTCAATATAGCCCGACCTTTATCTGATAATGTGCAACAGACGTTTGACAAAAGGACAGCCTCGTTCTTAAAATGGCAAAAGACGTTGTCTCTGGACCACTAGCTGAGATATTCAATCGATCTCTTTCTGATAAAACATTTCCCTTCCTATGAAAATGGCTCATGTGTGCCCTATATCCAAAAAAGGAGATTAAACTAGTAATGAGAATTAAAGACCAATTTTTGTGATTGGATGGAAACAAAGCAAGGACTTCCTCAAGAATCGATCTTAGGCCCGTTGCTTTTCAATATTTACTTAATTGATATTTTTCTGCATTTGAACAAAAGCAACTTATGCAACTATGCAGATGACAATACAGTTTGACTGTCAAGTTAAACTTTGGGGAGTAGCACTTGCCCATCAACTTAGATTAGAAAAACATATTAAAGTTTTTTGCAAAGAAGCTGGGAAAAAGGTAAATGCTCTAGCTAGGATTGTTTCGTATATGGGCGAATCCAGCTGAATTCTTTCAATGAAAACGTTCATCATATTTTATTTACTGTCTTCTTATTTGGATGTTTTGCAGTAGGAAAAGTAATAGCCGGACAAACCGGATTCACGAAAGAGCAATGAGAATAGCTCATGATGATTATGAATCAACTTTTTAACAACTTTTAACAAAGAATAAAACAATAACTTCTCATAAGAAAAATTTACAATATCTTGCGATAGAAATTTACAAAACATTTAACGGTTTGAATCCACCTTTTATGGATGAGATATTTTCCATAAATGAATGCCTATATTACTCAAGAAACTCCCAATTCATAACAGGGGAGCCACAGTACACAATATATGGATTCGATACCGTATCATACAGATGTAGCCAAAAATGGAACTCAGTTCCAAACGAGATAAAGTACTCCCCTATTTTACGAATATTCAAGAAAAAATATCAGAATTTACATCGTTTAATTGCACTTGTAATACGTTAGCAACATCTGTTATATTTGATTTACATTATATTTAGCGCTGCTGATTTAAATTAGTTGGTTTTAATTGGCTTGAGTATGCATAGCTAGAAATTTTACCAACTTTTAATAAAGAAAGAAAAAAACAAGCTGTCCGGTGCAAGTCGGAAAATGAGGAGGCTAAAGCCAAATGAATTACTTACAACAGAAGATTTTGCAAAATATTTATTTAGTTTTGCAACACGGGGGGGGGGCATTTATTATCATTGTTGTCATGGTTAAAACATTTAAGTTGCTAGTTTTCTTATTGTTTGGTATTCTCTTGTGTAAAAATCGTTCTTATATTTCTTAATAAATTACGGTCTCCTAAGGCATAACAATTTGCTGATGTTGATAAGGGTACTTTTCGGTGTCCTTTGGGAGCTTGACATAAAAGCATTTATTTTCACGATGACAGTTTCATACAGATTGCACGATTTCTCAAAGACACGCTTGATGCGATCATCAGACAAGGCAAATACGATCTTAGGTGATGTTTTTTATCGACTTTTAGCTTCTCCTGTACTGTGCTTTGTTTTGTTTGAATATGCTGCATCGTAACACCAGGATCAATCAAGCTACATTTCATGTATTTAATACGGCGTAGTGTTTTATCAAAACAAGGTGGTCGACTTTATTTGTCAATAATCATTATTTTGCAAACAAATAATCAAATTGATCATGGAAAATAGCGGTCATCTTCGAGCTTTTCGCCTCTAAATCGTGTCCCATTTACTGTAAGCAGTTTTTTTTCTTTTGCACAACATATTATTTTAAGAAAATAAAGGATTAAAAGAATTGGAATTCAGGTCTATTGAAAAAAATCTTGAAACAGCTGTTATCGATGTTGTTGTCGACTTTTTGTTTATTAAGATGCCATATGGCTGCTGATTGCGTTTTCAATGTCAAAAGTTAATAGGGAGTTTGATGTGTTCCTCAGCAGTGGTTTTTAGCTCCAATGCTGTTGGTTGTTGAATGACTATGCTTACAATGCTAGTACCTGTCATTAAATCAAACTTACCAATATATTTTAAGTTCCTGTGAATTTCTTAATAGACATTTTAGCAGACTTCATCCTTAATGAACAATGGCTATTAAAAATACATGTGCTTTCACATTTCGATTTAGTCGGAAATAAATTGTCATAGAAAAAGTGAATTAAGAATTGATGGTGATGAATTAAAATGCTATTGATGTCCTTCGAAACCAAGTCTTTTGTTTACAGATGCTTATATTCTGATGGCATAACAACGATTATTTTAATATACCTGAGTATTTTTGATCCAGACGCAATCTACATTTGTGTTGAGGAATTTTACTGCAAGGTGTGAGATTAAGCTTGTTGACGAATAATCAGATATATGTGAAAAGATTTCGTTTGAAATTAGTTCTCGCCAGTGCTGCACAGATTTGTACAGAGAATCACAAAGATGTAACCGATGGGAAGGAGTCCCTGCTCTTTCGTACACCGTGAAATCCAGATTGAGTGAATAAAGATATAGAAAATTTGATTATTCAAGAAATATATTCTTGCTTATCAGACAATCGTTGTCCTTCCTAAGCAAGTTACGATAATGGCAAGCAGAAAAGAATCTGTTATGTCGATGATTCAGCTGGATGTTGAAACAGACACAACGACAACTCGACACACGCAATGGCGAAGGCTTTCTAGAAAACGCAGACGCACTCTTATTAAGCGAGCTCTACGTAAATTGGAGCAAGAAGCTGGTGAGAAGTATGTTAGGATTGGCATGGACGATTATAGCCACGTTCAGAGCCTGGTTTATAGTGAATTGCCGTTCAACCCTAATGGGCATCATTGCTCTTGCAACTGTCTAGATGAAGTCAGAGATGACCCAGAGCTTGAGGTGTACGGTTGGAATTATGGCCGACTATTAAAAAGCTCAGAACAAGGATATTACGGTGATAATGAAGAAGACAGAGACGATGTTCTGCTAAGTGAGTATAGCGCGACACTTAGTGCCTTAGGATCACCAGAGAAAGGCCTTATTAAGACAGAGCGCTCATCAAGGAAGAGTTTCTTTGAATCCATGGATGGATACGATGCACAGAACATGGGTGACGACTCTGCTAGGAGTACAATGGGCGGTACTCTTGAATTGAAGCCTGGAAGTGAAGCAACGGCTGTTCAGGAAAGTCCGCGCAATGAGATGACAGATGCAAGCAGATTCAGTATACACTCGTTTGCAAATCATAATGGCTCACCTGAAACAGTTTCTGAAGCTGTAACAGAAAGAATCGACCTAGACAAGGAAAAAACCTTTAGAAGCATCTATTCTAGCCGAGATACTGGCCGTAGTGGTATCTCTAGAAACAAAAGCCGCACAGGTTCCAAAAAAGGCTGTTATTGTGATAGATTTGCGGTAGGCAGCAAAACCACCAGAAGATCCATAGCAAGCGGTATGTCTAGGTTGTCTTCGAGAACTGCATGCAGCAAGTGTCAACATTTTTTGAGTGCGGTCGATAACTTAAGACACCTAAATTCCAGCCGTCAAATTACTTTAGCGAAGGAAGAGGGGTTGCTTAGGAGCAAGATATTTGGATTACGTCAACAACTAAAGCATTATGATGATATCATACAGAAAAATGATTACAATACCATACAGAGCAAGGTGAAGAGAAAACTCCAAATACGAGATGCGCAGCAAAAGAAAGCATTGTTGCTATCAGATAACCTAAAGTTGATGAAAGTTGAAGAGCTGTTGTACAGGAAAAATAACGAGATATTGAAGGAACGCCTTGCTGAGGAAGGAGGATCGAGCCAAGCAGACGATGCATTAGGCGAAGAAGAAACCGGAAAAGAGTACGATCAAAATTTTAATTTCACCTTTAAACAGAGTGGTTTTAACCGAAGTCCACGGAAAACCGGCAAAAATCATCGAGGTACTGGCTTGCCAGCTGTCATGGAGGAGAACGAAGAAGATGTAAGAGAAGGCCACTCCTCGAATCGAAAACGTCCTATCAATTATGTTGAAAATCATGCAGTCCCTTCCTTTGATGATCCTTATGAGATTTTGTTTATCAATCATAGTGACAACGAAGCGGAAAGCAAGAGTAAAAACTATACCAATGGTGATAATAATTATGATGATGAGGATGGTGAAGATATCTTTATGAGAACATGGCCTGCATATAAGCGTGATTCCCTAAAACTTGGCTTTTGGGGAGCAGATGGGAGGGACAGTGTTGCTAGCATCAAAACAGTCAAGTTGAAAAAGCCAGTGAAGGCTGACCCAGTCAGAAGAATAGTTCATCGTTTAGATAGTGGTTTGTCCTATGGAATATCCTCTACAGAAAGTGAGTTGGTGGCTGATGAGTCCTTTTTAGAAATCAAGGATAAAATCGATGAACAAAAAATTTCAGGCAGTTATCTTCCGGAAGATGAATATTACAAACCGTTAGTTGAAAGACAAAGATCATTTGGGGATATAATAAAGAACGTAATTAAAAAGGAAATTGCAAGGCGTGCTTCTGATGACTCAGGAAAAACAGTTAATGCAGGACATATGTTTGAAGATGAAGAGATAAAAGACAAATTGAAAAAGGAATTGACAAGAAGAAGAAGTTTGAGTCAAATTGAAGGTAATCATAATGATCTCGTTGAAAAGGCCGAGAAAAAGAATGAGAAGTTACTCCAGGAGCTTAGGGAAAATTACGGCAAAGGTGCAAATGATGTTACTGAAGATGCAAGCTCTGTTAGTACACCTTTGAAAAAAATCTCCGAAAAATCAGAAGAACGAAAACATGAAGAAGAAATGGGCGATGAAGATATTGGTGAATCTGCCAAAATGCCAAAGCCTGGAAGATTTGTTGATCTATCTACACTGAGAACACTGGCACAGAAACACCAAACATTGCGATCTCTTGGAAGATTAGAAGAGGAAGAGTATAAGCTATCATCTGGGGTTGAAAAACTTAACACTTACAGGAAAAGCGAGGCAAGGGCGAGGGTACAAAGCCAAGAATCACAGCAGGGTTATCATGTTGACACAGAGCTACCATTGTCAGCAAAAGAAAAGAAATTTTCGATTCCTGCCCCACAGAATATACAGTCAAAACTTGAAGAAAAAATAGCTGAAAACGATAAGAAAATATCCCGTATTGATTTTGAATATGACATGATGCGTGATTTGAGATTTCTGATCCTTAATCAAAACATGAATCGAGCATTTACATGGTCCTATCTGAAAGCGGCACCTCCCTACTTGAAAAAGAAATGGCAGGGCAGAATAAAAAGAGGGTTTTTGAGGGGTGTGAAGGAGCAAAAGCTCAATGAAGTTCAACTAGAGAAGGTTGAGGATGTTACGTTAAAAAATATTGACCGCAGTCAAATTCACAAAGTCACGTTGACAAATGAACAGAAGAAAAGGCGAAAATCCACAGACCAATCAGGATCGCGTGCTCTATCACAGTCGAGCAGGCCATTGAGCAGACGAAGACAGTCAGAAAATTCAACTGAACCTAACACTAGTGATTCGGGAAACACGCTTCCTCCACTTAAGTTGCCTAACTCCCGAGAATCGTCGCCAGTGTTGACAAGTTACGACAGAAGACAAAGTACTGCCAACGCGGACGGTGTAAAATCCTTGAAAGGTGCATTCAGAAAGTTAAGCTTACGGCATAAATTTATCGAAAAGACGGGACTGATGAGAAACGTTATCAAACTTAGCTCATACTCCAAGAATGAAGGGAGTGAGATCGAGGGCTTTCTTATGCCTGCGAGTGATCGGTCTCGTGCTGGCAGCGAGTCTGAGGAGCGTTTCACATCGAGGCTGAAGCAGCAGCAAAGACGTCACAGCATTGCAACACAGAACTTTGCATCAAGTGATCCATTATCAGGGAGACTCTCTGTCAATTCTGTCGATAAAAGAAGAAAGCTTAGCCTTATGCAACCAATTAGTGAATTTTGAACAAGAATATTTTGCACTCCTTTTAATGTGAACGACTTTTGCTTAATCCCAACTTGTCAATTGCATGCTATTATGTTGATGCTCTTGAAGGGAATGTAATTTAGTTCGCCTTAGCGTTTTGCAGTAACCAAATATCAGCAAGGATACCAGAAATGGTTTTAGCTAAAAAGATCTTTTGATGTTTGTTCGTTCGTATGATGATTTCCCGACCGCATGTATTATCCTAATGCCAAGTAACCCTCTTTTTTATACCCTAAGGGGTTGGATCAAGCATTAGTATTGAAGCAATGAAATGTCATTTAGGCCATCTATGCCTAGTCGATAAGATTAAAGGCATTCAATACTTTTTAATAAAAGAAAATGACCATACCTGTAGTTCAGCAAATTTTGGGGGCTGCAGATCCTAGACCCACCCCAACTTCCGACGGCTTTCTCAGAATTAGCTGCAACAGTACGTAGCCCTTTTCGTGATTGCCAAGCTGCCCAATATTTAATTCAATTTATCATGACACATCCCATACCCCTTTTGGCTTTTATCATTGTCTTGTGAAATACTGAAGATTAAATGACTTATTTCGTGATTATTAGACTCTGCAAAGTCATTTCAAAACAAATCATTATTGGTCTGGTAATAGTATTTATGATACGACTCCTATGGTTTTTGAAGACGAATGCATCTCATGTCAAATTTACAGCAAAAGAATTAGATATAGCCTATCGGATCTTTACAGAATTAACTGAATTTTCAAGGCACCAGCAACAAACGGGAAAAAATTAACCTTGTATTTTGAGTGTTCTCTAAATGTTCATATAACAGAGTATAACAGTGTTTAGCAGTGTACAGTGTCTTTAAACATTCATATAAATGCAAAGCTGCGCTTCCAGGAGACTGTTTCTGTAATGTTCTAAACGAGGCTATTGTATAACGAGGTTTATTATTATGTAACACAAGTAACAGAAGCACGTCTCTATTTCGACCGTACTCAAATTGATGCCTTTAATCATGGGCTCTGACGCAGGTTGGAAAGTTGAGGGACTAGGGGAGATTTTGACAAACAGAAAATAGCCTGAGCATGTTCAATTACAACAGCTATACTTTTGTCGTTTGGGGTCCCCCCCTTGATTTTTAGTACGTTACTGCTTTGTCGATCTCAAGCTCACCCCCTGCTCACTCAAAAGAATTAGATATAGCCTATCGGATCTTTACAGAATTAACTGAATTTTCAAGGCACCAGCAACAAACGGGAAAAAATTAACCTTGTATTTTGAGTATTCTCTAAATGTTCATATAACAGTGTATAACAGTGTTTAGCAGTGTACAGTGTCTTTAAACATTCATATAAATGCAAAGCTGCGCTTCCAGGAGACTGTTTCTGTAATGTTCTAAACGAGGCTATTGTATAACGAGGTTTATTATTATGTAACACAAGTCACAGAAGCACGTCTCTATTTCGACCGTACTCAAATTGATGCCTTTAATCATGGGCTCTGACGCAGGTTGGAAAGTTGAGGGACTAGGGGAGATTTTGACAAACAGAAAATAGCCTGAGCATGTTCAATTACAACAGCTATACTTTTGTCGTTTGGGGTCCCCCCCTTGATTTTTAGTACGTTACTGCTTTGTCGATCTCAAGCTCACCCCCTGCTCCTTGGATAAAACGAATTTTTGAAGGGGCCGAAAACCCTTTAGTGCCGTCCATTTGAATAAAAATCTTAACAGTAGATTTCTGCTATATCTTATGGTCAAGTCATAGTGGAAGCCTGTTGTTCTAACTCTTTGTTCATGTTTATTACAATCACGTGATCTAAGTAAGGGGACGCGTTAAAACAGGTGTAAAGGATTGTTGTTGAGTTTTGAATGTTTCTCGAGAATGTTGGTAATTTTTACAATCTATTCTGTTCTGATATTATTAAAACTATGATCAGCTCATATTGTGCAGTTCAGGGATGAGGCATTTCTGTCATCACTCTTACTTGGGAGTAAGATTTCTTAGAACTTCGCGACGCAATTGGCAAGATTTTTTGGCTTGGATAACGGTATAAAAAGATTTACACGACTGCAAACAATTATTTTGAGCGTCAAATTGAATCTGGAGATGTTTTTATTTGCGAGAAAATCGGCGTGGGGAAAAATGAGATGGGTTAGTTGCAGCTCCCCTTCTCAGACAAAACTGTCACATTTCCTGCTCCACTCGGACAGTTTTATCTCAATGAAGAAACGATTTTCGGGGAAGATCAATGCTTAGCCCCCCTAAACGTCGAACATCCGCTACGTGCCTGGATAAGAGTTTTTAAACAAAAATATAAGCCTTCGTGGAACATTGATGAAGTCGAGTACGTTGCTGATACAGATATGGTTGAAGCTCGAAGAGCCAAAATTGTGAAAGAATTGTTAGAGGAATACACGAAGGACATACAACAGGGCGCCCTCACCATCATCATTTTGGACCAAGGACCGAGATAACGGGGGGTCAGGGAGCCTTGCCCCCAAAAAACTTAATAGCATAAGTAAAATACTTTTATTTTCTAAAATTTGGCTGTTGCTACACTTATTAATCAGAGCTTCACAACCCCCTCCCCCCATCCCAAAAAAATAAACAAAAAGGTGTATCTCGGTCTCTGTTTGGACACGAAAAAAATATTCAACGAAGAGACATTAGTATTAGTTGAAAAGTTGATAGATGAAAAAGCAATAGATTTATCAGATTCAACTTTTTTGCATTCACATTTAATCAGCTATCATCTGTTTTAGGGTTTGAGAAATGTTTCTTGAAAGTAAGTATTTTTAATCGCGAAGACAGACTTTGAAACACAAAAAATCGTTGTATCTGACTCGTGCAATAAGCAACTTTGTCAAAAGCCCAAATATCATTGGTTTTTTACACTTATGGGTCGCCTGTCTGCGCTAGGCTTCACGAAACTGTCTGCATCTGCTATTGCGAGAGAAGAAAGTGTTTTATCTTGTCCCCTTCCTTAGTTCACGTGAATAAAATAAAAGTGTTTTCAAGTTCTAGATAAAAACAAAAGAACAAAACAATGGGCTTCCAGACTAAGATCAAGCGATAGCAGTCATTTGCAAGCATGAGTCAGTCGTTTTCATCGGATCTAATTTCTTTGTTTTCCTCAATGATCAATGTGTTATGAGCATTGTATAATACAATAAAATCAACACAATAAAATAAAGCCCTATGCTAAATTCTAACGATTCAAGATCTTCCAAGGTGCAGGTCCTGTGAGTGTAGGGCGAAGAGCAGGTTTGTTGTCAAACACTCGGCTAGTTTTTCTTTTATTTTTAACCTTTCTTCCAAGACTCGCTCAAACTTGCGTCTCGCTTTGGTTTGTTTAGTTTACATATAAAATGCCTAGGCCGCCCTGCATCTCATCACGATATATCTTTCCGGTAGAAACGTCTGCTATTTTCCCGTTAGTCGAGTCATTTTATATCATGATTAATCCAAACTGATACAGAGGTTATGGAATGTTTTGAAACTCTCTAAATGTTTGACGGGTTTAACAAAATTTGGATTCCGGATTTTTGTTTTTTGACGTAAACAAATGCAGTGAGCGAGTGTGCAGTTGTTTGAGAGGTTTTTATAATGGGATCCTTGGAGGCGCACGTTTCGTTTTGTTGAGCATCGGTTTTGTAAAAACATAGAAAGTGTTGAAGAGGATGAAATCCTTTCAACCGAGATACTTCAAGACTGTGGTATTTTGGAAACTCCCTCGCTTCATGAATCGGTCACAGAAAATTTTCCATTTCCATCACTTGCAGTTTTCAGTCTGCACATGCGCAACGTACATTAAGGGCCTGTTGATATGGAGAAAATCATCCTACCTGAACTGAGAACTTCACTTTGTGAACTGAGAGGTGACTGAGAGTGGGAGGTAATTTTTTAATTGTTGTTTGACAAATTTTTGTGAGCCTTCCCCCACCCCCAACCTCATTATTGTTATGAAGCTTTGTTGTTTTGTTAGTATAATTATTTGGAAGAGGATATAAGGAAGAAAGGAAAATTCAAAATTATAATCTCGCTGCATCGGCAGAGAAATGAAGTTTCAGTTTCATGAATTATTTTAAGGATAGCTTAAAAACATTTCGCGTTCTTGTTCGGATTTGAACGATTTGCTCGTTCATTCACAGTTTTGACAGGTCCTTAATAGATTCCTCCACCCTCAGATAGAGAGTTCTGATGTTGTCCGGTATTACTGCAGCTTTTGTTTTTAGCAGGTTAACGATAAGGTGGATGCACCTTGATTGACAACAAGCACCAAATACATGGATGCTGGCTGGAAAATCCATAATTTCAGAAGATAGATCAGTAAGAGCGCTTACTTTCTAACATAATGAATGTTTAAAATATCGCTTATCCGTTCAAGACAAGACCAGACATTATTGTTCCAGCGGCCTAGCGCTTTGTCATTTAACAACAAAGCAGTGAAATAAAACCGTTTCAACAAAATGTAGAAGATTAGAGTAGCTAGCTTGAAAGCGTCTTTTTCCTTCAGTTAAAATAGGAACATTTAGAGTTGGTTCGTTATTCATCAGAATTCATAAACATTGACCCCTAAATATTGATGACTGAGGTATGAAGCGAACGTTTGAGGCAAGGGGGGGGGGAGGTGATGGCTGAAGCCCCCCGGAGTTCATGGAATCACAATAGGCCAGCACTCACAATTTTTGTTGCTTGTTTCTACAAACTTTAACCGAGAACGAAATGACGATTGGTAATGCCCAAAGCAAACATAGTGACTTTTACCAGGAAAGTTTGTAGTGCCAGGTTAATCCGAGATATGACGCACTTGTTATTTTCCGCATCTGGAAATTTACTTGGCCTAAACAACCCAATAATAGGCACTGTAATAGGACTGGAATCTAACTACTAATTTATGCTGATTATGCTCCTGTTGGTATATATTGTAATCGCTGTTAAGAATGATTAGTCAGTTCATAATCTCAATACGAGTTGCGCGAAATTTCTCGCTGTCGATCTCTAACTACTCTAACCCCATTAAAGCACCGTTAGGGGGGGAGTGGGGGGTTAAAACCGAATAGAAACAGACTTGGCTGGTGGCTCATTTCTTAAATTTTTGTATTTTTGCCAAAAGTGGGGAGTAAGCCCAACCCCAAGCCTTCCCTTCTCTGCGTGGCCTGAATGAATTCCTGTCCTTAAGTTTTGAGAGTTACAATGGCAATAGCCCCAGACAATGTGTTATTGAGAAACAGCGTATATATTGTTACAACAATTATGGTTATTTTGATGACCAATAACGCACCATTATACTGTAATGCATCAATTACTTGAAGCAATTTTTTTCAACATTTCTTTTAGACATGACGAAGGTCATTCCAGGTTCGGTTGGTTGGTCAGTCACAGGGGACAGAAGCATCGAATTTGCTAAACAACCGATAGACTTTATCGAACGAAGAATCAAGCAACATGACTCGAAGATTTTTATTGCCAGGGCCTTAAATGTGCCAACAGTTTTTGTATGCTCAAACGAAGGAGTTAGGCAAATTTTCGGTACACTATAAACTCGATTGTTTGTTCTCTACATCGAAAATTTTATGTTCCTTGGGCATGTAAACTTCGAAAGCTCATTAGGGGCGTAGCTGGAGGGCAGGGGCTGAAGCTCCAATATTGTCAGAAAGTTTTAGGAATTGATCACAAATCCGTAACTTATTTGGATGTCGAAAATTTCTCTTAGACAAACTAACCGCCATCCTTATGGAAGTTAACTCCCCTGATGAGTATGTGCGATGATATTTAGTCTACAACTCTTTATAAAACTCTCCCAAGAATATACTGGTGATGTTCTTGAAAGATCCCACTGAAAGACCATTCCCCTGTAGACTCGTTAGGTTACTGACTTTTCAACAGTTTTGTAAATTTTTCATATGTATCATGTTTGTTATATTATTGTGTAATATACTGATTGCGACATACTGAATGTCCTTATCCTGAGAGGATGTTGTCTGCATGCAACCATCTTCAACCTGAATCAAAGATCAAGTACTTTATACAGCGACAGGCATGGTCCTTAAGCCAAAATGGACCGTTGTTGATAGATGAAATTGTAACTGTTGATTAATTGTCATAAGCTGCTCTCTTTTTCTGTGCGTTGAAATGCCTTATGTTTGCGTGACGTCACTGGTATTTTTTGCTCTATTAATTTTCGTTGTTTTAGAAAATGAAGACTATTTTGCAATGGGATATAAAGATTTCGGCTACATTTATCAGTTGTATGGCGACGTTCTTCTGTTTTATGACGGTGAGAGACTTCTCAGCTTTCATTTTTTTATTGAATTTGATTCATGTTGTTTTAGGGTAGACATCAATAACGGTGGTGTCGGTTTTATGCATCATATTAACATTTTTAATTGCTTTTTTGAATTTTAAGAACATTGGACTTAAATAGCAGCTGACTGGAGCAATGTTTGACGGGAAGGTCGTGTTGCTAACTGCCCATTTGAAACAATTTTTTGTAAAGGAGATCATCGAGTTGATGTTTGACTTAATCTAAAACTTAGAAGTTGTTTTAATTTTCAGTACGCTGACTCTCGTGAGAGTGAACTTTAAATTTCCAGGCTAGGCGGTCTACCTCGTTTAATTTAAATGAACCTTCATGTGCCGACAATTTTTGGAGAAAGTCATAGTGTAGTCTTTAGATGTGAAACCTGTAACGATGTCCATAAGAAAAGGAAACAACTCCTGTGTCGGTTTCAATCATATGCTATGTCGATGTTCTAGGAAGGATGTCAAAAATGATCTGGTGTTTTGGACAGGAACCTTTTTCTTTTGAAGTTTTCTGCCTGTTTCTGTTTCCAAAACCAATGATGAAACATCAAAATGTCTATTTTAGCTTTACGGTTTCCTGTTAATGAATCAGTTCCCTAACATATACCAGAACTGTTCTTATGCTCAGTTGTGGCACTAGGAATGAGGAAGTGCCAAAAAAAGAAAATTCTATAGGCCAAAATCTTTTTACGATACAGGAACTGCCCCCTCTTGATTCTGCCAATCTTGCTGCCGGAGGTTTGGATCGATAGAACCAACCATAAACGGATGATAAACTATACAAGTTTCTATAAAACATTAGATTGGCAAGTTAATTTGATTCAGATGTTGTACCGAAACAATGCACACCATCCAAAACAATACAATCAAAAATGATACGTTAGAACAAAGATGACAAAACATAAATATATGTTCTGACGTTTTATACTCTGAAGAGTGTCAGTCGAAAAGCTTTTCTGACTGGTCTATCTCGATCCACAACTGGGTATACATTTCTTAACTAAACATTTTCATTCATTTTCCCGAAGTTATGCTCAGAAGAGTGTCTGACGAATAGCTTTATCTTAGAGTCTTAGAGTGTTTGCTTTTTAAAGTGTTGAATTTTGTAGCCCGATTTCACAATATTTGTAACTCATCTTCAGCATGTTTCTTGTTGTAGATGCGGAGGCGATGAGATTGCGTGGTATCATTCGAATGCTATTTGATCATGCGATTTGTCAGCATTATGTGGAACAAGTAAGAAGGTCAGGGAACCAAAAAGTGGCTTCTTTCGATGGGGGTATCTAAGAGCCTATTGGTGTTGCATAGGGATGATTTGTGTACACCCTGCTTCCGTTGTAGTCACATAAAATTCAGAACCCAATTATGCAAAAATGTTAAGTTAAGCTCCGTTCACAGGTAAACAATGCTTACAGTCACAGCATTGTCTTTAATTATAATCTGAGTCTACTCAACTATAAACATTTTCAATGTTTAGTGCTGGTGCGTTTTTCTATTGAATAACTAACTGACATATAGAATAACTGACATATAGAATAACTGACATATAGAATAACTGACATATAGAATAACTGACATAAGTAACATGAATTTCCTCAATAGGAGTTTTCTCAAGAATGTGTTCTTCTTGCGTTATTGGTTATACTTTCGATTGATTTGGTCCAAACGTAGCAAGGTTTTCAGTCACTTAATCCTTAATTCCGAGGTGACAGCTATAACTTTTAGAAAACTTCATAAACGGCTTCATAAAGTCATAATTAACTGCAACAACTGAAAAGGTCTTGAAAAAATAAGAAACTTGATAAGAGCTGAATTTTCTTCAGCAAACTACAAGAACAGTCATATAACCTTCGCTTGAGAATTTCTGGCTAGGTTTCGAGTATGGCTACAAACAAACATTGATTACGAAGTTTCGTATGTGTGGTTGAGAATTTGATGAATCTCACTACAAGTGCTGAAAAAAGTTGACCATTGTTAAAAATACCTTGAAACCGTCGTTTGGTTTAACAAAATAATTCTTCATGGAAGCCTATACTTGTTAAGAAGCCTTGAAAATCTTTGAATTGTAAATCTTGACTTTTACGAAATAATCTTCTTGATGAAGATCTAATTGACGTCCAAAAACCAACTTTTGGTAAATAATTCATCATCTTTTTCTTTTTTAATCTTTATCTTCTAACACAGAATGCATGCTGTTTTGACTGTTTACTTCACAGGCTATAAATCAATATGCACAGCATCTGTGGTAGTTATTTTATTACCAAGGTCTTGGTACCTGATCTTGTGAGCAATCACGCTGCTATCAACGTATAAAATTAGAAAAACCAGCTTTTGAAATATGTTTTTTGTATTCATTTGACATCAAATTCTCTTGCAGTATTACGACTGAATTTCTATCAGATTTTGACAAATCGTAAGTTGTATTACAAAGCTTTTTCTCTGAACCCAAACCTTAGCTTTAACGTACCAATGAATTTGAGTATGTTTCCTATATTTATTTTGCCTTCGTCAGCATATAAACTAGCTTGCAGATGATTCTTGCTGTTTTTTTCTAATTTCCAGCTATAACATTTACTATTTTTTCGTTAACACTATCTTGATGTTTGAGTAGCTAATTGAAACCATTATTAACAATTTATTTTTTGATATTTATTGATTTTCTCACAGAAATCATATTCAACTGTATGAAACATTTAAAAGTTTTACAACAGCTCTAAGCTTAGAGCTTTTCCTTGGCCTCAACTGGAAAAGCAAGGCCATGGAGTATGAAACAATCAAATCGATTTCAACCATTCACTGGCATGGTATTTGCGTTTATTACTTATAATTATATTTTTTACATAGCATTTCTGTTATTGCAATAAATAACATCCTTCTTCTAATCATTAAGCTACCCTCGAATTTATTTGTAGTACATATATTTGATCCAATGTCTTTGGTATGAAGTAAACAAGGACGCTATAGATTTCCTTTCTTTTCGTTTTTCTGAAAGACGTTATACAAATTTGAGCCAGCAGTTAGAATTTTCA